GACAGATCGCTTACGAGAAATGCTTCTACGTGGTGTGCGCGATCTCTTACGTGAGTGTATGACATAAGTCGGTTATGTCATTCTGAGTCGTGTGAGGCTTTTCTTTGACTGAAAATACCTCGGTAGTAGAAGGTTTCGTAATTTCTAGAATGCGGTCGGCAGATGCAGCTAGCTCGTCTAAGGCGTTGTTCTGGAACGAGACCAGAACTGCTTGCACCTGTTGGGGAAGTTTTGACAAGAAGAGTTGTTTGAATAGACCTTCGTCGAAAGTTCTTGGGCCTATAACCTCTCTCATCCGTTGCAACATGTCCGTCGCAGAACCGTGTTGCAGGTCGATGTTATTGAAGAGTTGATCTAACCTTTGTCGATCGGTTAGGTCTCCTCGTTTAAGAATCGAGCGTTTTAAGATTTCGTAAGGATCGGAAACATCACTAGTAAACATACTAGGTGTTACGTACCTGTTGAATTCCCGCGGTAGTGCCTTGACTACTGCGAGGAATTGTGCACGTGTGTCGATCACGCCGTGCTCGGAAAAGTCGGCTTCTGCGTAGCAAAACCAGGCTTCGATGTTGTCGGGCCAGAAAGGCATCAGTTGAAACGAAGGTGGGGACAAGGTCTTAAGCTTGAGTACTTTAGGTGTCTGTTCAGTCATGATGAAATATGAAGTACGATAATGAACGAGGGGAAAAAATATATATATATCCAAGAAAAACACGAAAAAAAATCACAATGTTTAAAAAAATAAAAAATAAGGCAATGATATATAAAAATCCCAAAAAGGAACAGACTCACAGTTGCAATAAGGTGTACCAGATCACGACGGTCTCACCAATGATGATGTCACAGGTATTCAGTGTTTGACAACGCTTCTACCAGTAACACCTTCTAATATAATTCGTTCCCACCCAGAGAAATCAAAAGACAGAGTCGAGGAGATCGGAAGAGTGTATTTGGCGATGACCAATATATCGGAATTCTCTGATCTAATCTGGCTAGCGATTGCGGTTGATGTTGAGCACGGCGTTACTACACGTGATCTGGTGCGGATGCCTGACCGAGCGCCTTCAGCTAGATGAGTCCACTAAAACATATGGTCAGCATCCAATGTCGAAAACTTACACGGCTATTTATTTTGGGGATTTATTTAGCGCTACAAGTTCTAGATGTCATTTCGTGGAGTGGAATTTTCATAAAATGATAATTTGTTCGGTGAGTGATATGATTGCGAAAATGTCATATATTAATGACAGCACGAACAAGATTAATAATTCCACATTCGGTCACGATATTGGCAATAATTTAATAATAAGCATATAATGATAATTTGAATCGTAATGCGACAAACCGACGAATGGATCAATGAGAATAGTTGACATGAGGACAAAGTAACAATAAGATAATAAGATTTGTGCATGTCCATGTCGTGCTGCACAGGCTTTGCTGAGTGCATCGGTTTAGAGATTGAGCTGGACCCGTTGAGTGTGTTCGTCGAATGTATCAAGTGCAGAAATCTCTTCATCGACGAAGGTTGCCGCGTTAGGTTCATCGTCGGCGGGCTTGCCATTTTAGTTCGTCGAAAATATGGAGTGCCGCCGTTCCTTCATTGACGTAGCTTGCTGCGTTGCGCTCGTCGTCGGCGGGCTCACCATTTTTGTGGTCCGTGGATCTGACTCCTATCTAGATCGTATGGATGTTTGCTATCGCCTATTCTCGTATATAATTGTCGACTTAAGTCTTGTTAGTCAATAACGGGATTAAATAAGTCGAATAACGAGAATTGACTTGTGAATACATATATTTTGTATATGAAGCGGTTGAAACAGAGTAGAGCAAAATGACACGCAGGGAAGATGGCTGGGAAGCCAACTCCATCTTTGTCAAGCGTTACTCAATATTTATAGTCAGACAAAATAAAGCTACAGACATGTGGTTAATGGGATAAGAAGGGCACACACATATACGCTCATATAAAAACAGTCAAGACTGATAAGCGAATAATTGACAAGGTCAAAATATGACTCAAGTAGAATGAATAGAACGGAATGTCCGAAAGCCAGAATAAGATATATGGGCTAAAAATAATGACTGACACTACATTCTTTAAATCTCGCATATTTCGAACCTATTTAGTTCACAGCAGACATGTAGATCAAGTGGGTATCAATGAAGCAGGTTACTACAATTTTGATTCTGATCATTCTCTGAACAACCCCAACTATGCAGATGATTCCGAATTTCAGATAGACGAAGAATGTAACAGTCAGGTTGCCGAACAATTAAGAAGATTCAACAGAGTTGCAAATAAACCTTGACCACATTGTAGACCAAAAACTAACGTGTCGTGGGCGTGATGAGTAAACGATGCACTTACTGTAGTCAAATATTTTACGTGATGTCTAAATCTGTCATAATAATACAATACAACCTCATACTGCGTAGTTCGAATTGGAGTTCGTCATTGTGTCTGGTTGACGTTCTAGGGCTATTGAGATTAGTTCTATTTCGTTATATTATTTCAGAGAATACTTCGGCAATTCTATAAATTCTGTCTCCAGATTCAGCTCATTAATCCTTTCAATTAATCGATCACGCAGTAGTACATGACGTTGAACACGAAAATTACACTCGATGGTTTTTTTATGAAATTCAAGGATAAACTCTAACCTTCTGGTTATTCTGACGAGTCATCTTATGATATTTCGCCCAAACACGACATTCGGAGTTTGTACATTTCGCGTGATTTAGTTGTTCTTTGAGTAAGGAAAGTGAAATAGGTTTATCTAAAAATGACGAACGTTTAGTAAACTATAGGCATCGTATCCAATGAATGTAAGGAAATGAGCCCCAATTTTATCATCCTTAATATTCCTCCTAATCATAGTCCAGATTTCAAACCTTCCTTTCCTCGGTAGCTTTGGAATTTGAATGTATATCCAACTGTCCAACCACAGGCTCCTTTGCGATGCCACTATGATAATTAGAAGTGTCCGGATTGATGTACTAAGAATTCTCGAAATAATGCAGTTTAAGCTAGATAGAACTAAGTGATTACACCTGGACGTATTATATTTGGAACTCATAACATGCGCGCAACCAACTACAAAGGGATCACCACTTAGTGCAAATGCTACGGATTTCCATGCGGAAATATAGCATGTCGTCGTATGCCTATAGAAAGTATCACTTAAGGACGCAACTGTATTTCAGGGTCTTTGACTAGCATCAGGGGTTAAACAGAACCCCGAATGAAGCACCTAAGACTTTATTCTGCTACGCCGAATACAACCTGGTAAATTTGTCGATAAATACGTAAACATACGAACGGATTTCTTTAGACATCACTTGCTTAACCAAAAAAATATTTTTCAGGGTCTTTGTACCATTGCTAATTTATAGACTACCTATTCTGTCTTCATTTCGACATTCTGAAATAAAGCTCTTTCTATTTTCTTAGAATCATAAGTGTTGACGAGGTATTTTTTCAGTTACGATGCGTCTGGTGTGAAAGTTCAAGTGTATGTTTCTACAAGAATTATATTTCTAAGTCGATTATCCTAAATTGTATGAAACGTGATGTTTAGCGGTGGTTACATCCAACCTATTTTTCACTTGCCGAGTTTTTGCAAGATGTTATAAGGTCGTTGAAATATGTGATCCTCCGTAAGACAGAATTGTGGCTTGCTGTGAGAACATTTTGGGATCGTCAGCTGAATAAGTCTACATTTTAATGAGGATTTCCAAAATGATTTCTAAAAAACATATCTATTGCCTCACAACGCATTATGCACTGAACCAAGTTTTGATAATCATTGACCTGTTTGAGAGATTGTATTATATCGTTGTCAGTATATTTCAAATAAGACGAAATATGGGTCCTGAATTCCACCCAAGCCGATAATCAAAGTTAGTAAGAATTGTGATTGAATATATCAGAGCAATCTACTTATAATGCACTGATCCCAATGAGGACTTATTACTTGAATAGAAAATATTTAGAACTATTATTCTTTGTTGAACACTTTTGTACCATTAGACAGTGTACATCCCCATAACCGCACAGATTTACAGAGGGCTATAATCTCCAGCTTGTTACTTGTACAAAGGCTGCTCACAATGTAGCATCCTTTGGATTCGAAATAATGTGGCTCATGGAGCGGTTAGTGCAATGGACTTTGTATATCGTCGACTTGTTTGTCAACATTGTAGATAAAAAAAATCAATCAATCTTCGGCATTTTCCTATTCGACTTAGGAAATTTCCTGATTTTTACCTCCATTCTGATCTACGAAATTATTAGTTCTGCAGTCTTAGGGTTACTTGAAACTGGAGATATTTCCGACTAATACATATACGGGTTCAGATCAACGTTAACCGAAAACATGAGTGACTAAACAAACCTGCATCTACACCATGAGAAGCTAATATCAATTTTAAACCTCATAACACCTAGAGTATTACGTGCAGCAAAAAGCTTCATTTTTTAATGTACCTGACTTCGAATCAAAGATGCAAAGAAATCAATAGTATATAACACTACATGATTAGAAATAAACACAGGATGTAGATATAGTTTCCTTCTAGAAATGCCAGTCATTTACAATGAATGAAACAGTCAGGATGTTGGCATATTTCGGATGAAATTCTAGCAATCTCACTAGAAAGTGCTGGAAGATGTTCAAAATACTGATCATAACGTGTTTTAGTAATTTCATGACAGCATATACGCCAAAGTGTACGTTATCATATGTTCAAGCCTAAGTTCAATAAGAGAAAACCAATTTAATCTAACTAGCTAGCCTAGACAAGACATAACTATCACCGACTTATAAAAAGTCAATATAAAAGCAGCGAACAACTGGGAATATATTTTATGTACACAAATATACAGAAGTAGAAAAATCATTATGATTCACCCAAAATGGTTTCACTGAGTTTGAAAAGATCAATTTTCGGGCGATAGTAGGACTTGGGAGGTTTAGAAACATTTTCTTTTGAGGTATCTACAGGTTGCTTTCTGAAGTTGTAGAAATTTGAGGAGAATCCATAGCAGTCTCAAGGTTATCTTTTTCAGACGCGGCAAGCTCTGCTTCCTTTACTGAAATCATTTGTTGTAAAGATGGGATACTGCGCGAGGAATGCCTAAACTCATACCGGTGATTAGTAGTTTGTTTACACTGCTGGTCACTACCAGTATGTTGAGTCAACTGGCACTTGCTGTTGCCGGCATCGGAATTCGTAAATTGAGATAAAACACAGTCGATTGTTTCTGAAAGGTGACGCTCAAAATCTGGATCTCTACGAAGCAGGCTTTTTCTTCGCGATTTTGGTTTACTTGTTGCATCAAGATTTTGATTACATGACTGTTCGTTACATTCGATTGAGTCTTGATCACATCTAGCTGTTTTATTTTTAAGAGAGGTTAATGAAAAAGTGAACAATAGGAACTGGGAAACAATAAGTTTACTTGTAGTTAACTGTCTACTTTACAAGATTACTGTTGAAAAAGACTTTCCAAAAGACATTTTATGGAATCGAGTGATGTTGATAATGTTTATTTCTACATAGAACTGGCATAATTTACTGATTGATGTTCTAGATTTCAATGTAAACACTCAGTGAACCTGACATGAATGCTTTTAGTTGGCATAAACTGGAAATAAGTTTATTCTTGTTTAATAAGTAATTATTAATCAGTATTGAAAAATGTTTCACCTAGTTCATTGAGGCTAACAAAAATTGCTTTAAATTACGAATCAATCACTTAACCAGATTTTGCAAACTACGTAACTAGATACAAGCTCCTATATTCGGCTTCCAACTAAAACTTTTGTGTGAAGGCTAGTGATATTACCAAGTTGAACAGACCAAAGAATGTGAGGTGGGTTCTAAAATGCAAATCAATGGTTACGAGCAAAATTATTTAACTTTTAACGGACTGTTCACAGATTGGTAACCTATTTTCATGAAATATGTACAAATATTTATCAAAGTTTTGAAAACGCTTAAACAGATCTAATGAGACTTTAAATTATAACCTTTGTAAGAATAAAAAATCAAACGATGTGATTAAATTACTAGTTTGTAATTCACGTTATTATAAAGTTTTTTATAGACCATGTAAATTTACGCCTATAGAGAATATAAAAAAATGTATAAGTTGATAGAAATCAGAAATATGAACATAATACTTATTTTAAGCATGTGGAATTAACTGACCAATAGATTATCTTTGACAAAAATAAACGGGAGGGATAGTGGTTGATTATTTTGTAGCCAGTTTTATTTGTTTTAAAAAATCAGATAGGATAATGATTTGTTACTATATTTTAACCGAAATTAGCAAATTCAGTTCATATATAAAAGCTGGAAACTTAGAACTAAAACCATCTACTTATTTCATCTTTTACATAACCGGAACAAATATACAAAATATAGTAGTCCTTTTTGTTATGTTAAAATCAAACAGCTTTGCACACACAGAAAAATTGGTTTTCAAGAAAATAAGAACGAATTTATGATATGCTGCGAAAAAATAGACGAGATTTTTGTAAGATACAAACACAAGGTTGGAAACCTGAGTCCGGTTGTTAAGACTGAAGAATCTCACTTTTAATTCCAAACCATATGTATTACAAGCCACAAACTTACGTTTATTTGCCTTAATGATATGTAAGACAAACAGGTTGAATTACAAGAAAAGTAGGTTTAAGAAGTGACACTTTACTATCTTACTATAATGTAGCATTTATTTCAATGAGATTAGACATATCTCCTAGACGAATTAAGAACACAAATCACGTAGAACATAACTATGGGAGTAAAACTAATAAACAATAATAAATTAAACCGAGTTACATAGAATACTCAGTCAATAAACTAAATGTCAAATCTAGGCACACAAAAGTCATTTGAACGCTATTCGAAACAGGGACTATATATATACATATTAACAATACGAATGTCATAAACACATGCAGACAAGTTATTCATAAGTAAACTGTAAAGTCTTACTTCCTCAAAGTATACATGATTGTTTTTTAAAGTATAAGGAAATTGTTTTACTAACTAAACAATTTGTTCTGACTGTGATAGTGCATGTCTGAACAAGAGGACACAGTTTTATGGGGAAGTGTCGTGCTGATTATTAAACAAACAATAAACATAATACGCGCTGAAAGTGCCTATCATTATTTGTTGACAGGAGCTATGTACTTTAATATATATATATATATATATTATATATATATATATATATATATATATATATATATATATATATATATATAGTGGATAAAGTTTTGAAATAGTGAATAACTAACCTACATGTGATTAGAAATCTTGATTAAATCGTTAATTCCTACACCATGATAACGTGGTGTAGCTAACTGTTTCGTGAAGTAAACGGCAAAATCTTAGCTTTACTTTCCGAAAAAAATCAGTAACAATATGTCGAATAAACAGTCTTAATGAGACAAAAAGTAAACTTACATTTTTTCTTACTACTTTTTGAAGATTTATCGGGTCTCGCATTTTCTTCTTCATCACTTGACGGGAACAGATTAATAAGATCGTAAGTACGACGGTTTCCTGTAAGCACGAAATGACTTCTAATATGATTTCAACTTACGTAATGCTTGGTTGACCAGATAAGGGTTGCGTTTTTCTTCTCGTTTAAATTTACTCTTTGAAAGAAGGTAGAATCAAATAAGAGGAATTTTTGAATGCTTGATATAAAATCAACGTGAAGTTATAAAAACTGTAGAATATAGTTTAGACGCACTATTCTTGAAGTTTCAGAAAGTTACCACAACTTTTGGTGTGGCAAGAACCACTACTGTACACATAATATTGAAAAAAATGAATTGAAGCAGTGAACAGTAATAATAAGCAATATCTTTCGAAAGAACAAATGAAAGTGGAAGCTGTGGTATTTCCAAATTATTTACACCACGTGTGTCGACAATAAATAATATTTCGAAGACTTTAAAAATGAAGGGCAATATTCAATTACAAGAAATGTAGTTTGCTATCTCGATATATTCAGTGACCTCATTTGCTTCAGTAAACACTGTAAACAATCCGCTTTTTTGACCTACTGCTGATCAGCTATAGTTCAGTGCTAGGTTAGTGAACTTGGTAAAAATATCCTGATCATTAAGAAATAATCACCGTAAAAATATCATTACGATTATAAATCATCCTGGTTTAGTTTTAAAGGTCGGAAGAAGCAATATAATTTATCAGAAGGTTATATCTAAAGACCATAATTCGGAATTAATGGTTTTAACTCAGTTACTTACACGTGGATTTAGGCAAACGATAAGTATATATTATTTTCGCAAAACGAATGACTTAAAAACTACTGCTTCTGCCACTGATTTAGAGCATACGAATGAGATAAGTAATAACCGATGACTGAACAATCTTTCCAGTGCTTTGAGGGACAACGAAAAAACTTTTAGAATAAGGTAAAGCACTGGTCTGATCCAAAATATAGTCTGATCACACTGGGTGGATAAATTAAGCACACTAACCACTTTATTTATCCTAAGTCTGATTGCCCCTGCTGATTTAGTGGCTAACGAAACGTCGGCATAAAAACAAGATATATAATCGACTTTGTCAACTTAAAACTTATATGGGATAAGTGAGATATTTAAATATCTATCCAAGAGTGACTGCACTGCGCAGTCGTTCACTTTGTATTATTTTACTGGATTTGTAGAATAGTTGAGTGTTTGACCAGAATATTTTTGAGGCATTGTTCCACTTGAAAAAGCTAGCAGGTGAGCAATGCACAAGTAAAGCGTAGAGTACAGTGTAAATCAGGTTAACAAAGTTCTGAACTCTACTTAACTGAAGTGGCTTGGATATTTGTAACGTGCACTATGCCTTTTCCTACTTAGATAAGTAATGTCAACTAACATAGGAGCATATTGGGAGAATGTTATGGGTTGACAAGTGAGAAAATGGTACAAGTTCTTGAAGTTACCGATTGTTGGAATGAGAAATAACAGGAGGGGGAGAACGTCCTGGTTAGGACCATTGGGTTAGAAACCTAGAGCGATATAGTTCGAAAGTAGTTGTAGTGGGGCAAGTGCGTCCGTTTTTTGTTTGCTTATGGATCTTGAGTCTCAGTGTTTTCTCACACTTTCGTTATAAGTTATATTCTTGAAATTCTCTCTCATTGATACTATTGTTGGTTGATTATCTAAGCAATAGTCTAGCTTTATTCACTCTTTGTCTCTTGTCGGTCCTAAATTTCTAGGTTCTTTGTAGTTTTTTTCTATTTCATTAATTTATACTTTTTCGAATCTCATCTTCGATGTCCATTTTTTTTACATTACCACTAATATTGTTACAACGTCTACCATTCTTGAATTTTCCCTGACTATTTCATTTAGCTATGCAAATGGGCTGCGGTAAATTGAAGCGTGTTTTATGTTGTATTGGACTGACTGACCTTTTTCTGTACTGGTTCGAAGTGTGACAGCTTGAGGACATGGAGAACTGAGTTAACTTGTATGTCGTATGTGGCTGACAAACACAAAAGTGTACTTGTCAAAGGTAATTATTGTTAAAAAGTTTAATATATATATGAACAATTATTTATCACAATAATCACAAAACGGAAAAGAATTTCGAAAAACACAATAACACGGAGATAGAATACTAAGAAATAAATGAAAAACTAGAAGAACAAAAGTTGGTGGAAAAAAACCAACGGAGATGGACAACTTACAACAAGTTCTGACCGCTTCCGGCGAGGGAACATTTTCTCCATCACGTAAAAATCAGTCCCAATAGTACTCAATGCTCTGTAGAATCGTGTAGTCTCACGCTCTGTCCATTTCCTTCCATGGCCATCACGAGGAGGTCGGAAACTCCTATAGTCAACACTGAGTATGCCAGTTTCTTCACTAATATGCCGTAAAGTTTTTGTATAGAAATTCTCTCGTTTTTCACTAATAAACTGGTTTCATCCAACACAATATTTCCATTAGCATCGATTCGTAGTTGAGGAGCTAATGGGTCCGAATAAACATCACTGGATGGACACTTTGGGGAGTTTTCCTTTAAATCAGGAGTTTCAGTATTATTGTCATTTGATTTGAGGTCATTATCACTTGCTTCCACGTCCCCACTTAGTGAACAGGTAGTGGAGTTAAGACGCTCCTGTCGATAACTTTTCTAGTAGTAATTGTATAAAAAGGACTTACGTCGGAGGTGGTTTGTTTATAGGGACCCAATGCAGTAAGGAGCGAAGAGTGACAGAAGCTCGATCAAGAGGTTGACCTACAGGAGGTAGTACTTCCGTTGTCTTGACTTTAGTTTTGCGAGGCTATAAATTTTGAAAACCAATTATTAGAGATTAGACAACTACTTTTTTAGAAACAAATAGGTTTTCTATTTCCTTGGATACTTGTTGAGGCCTTTCAGGATTAACATGGACATCTAGGTCAGGGTTGATCAATCTAAAAATAAACATGTATTTACAAAAATGTTACCTCTGAGTAGCTGTTTTAGGAGTTTCACACGTATTCTGTGAAGGAAGTGGTGAACTGATAAAATAAGGCTTATCGGATTCTGTTACCTTGGCCTTGGTTCACTTGTAATAATGCAGGGTGATGACTCCTTAGACGGATTGGAGTCGGACACCTGATTAGGTCTGATTTCTTGAGTTTCAACTTCATTTCTATTAAAAGCCTTGCTTTCGTAATAATAAAAACGTACGTTTTTATATGTGTCTTGATTTGTTTTATCGATGGTCTGAATACTTTCGGCATAATTTCGACACAACAAAAGACAGGTTTTTAGGCTGCGTATAGTTTGAGAAAGAAACACTGATAAGTAGGATGTAAAGTACTGTGAGGATAGTTGCAATAAAAGGCTCAAGAGCATACTGAATTTTTATTACCATAACTTACGGTACGGTACGGTCATGGGCGAACACAAAGACGCAAGTGGGAACCCTTACTTTAGAGGAAGCAGGTCTTTGAAACAATGCCGAACTTGTTGAACGAACAGGTTTTGATATAGATATTCCACAATGAAGGTAACTATGAAACTATTAAAGGGTAGTCAGTTGTTAACAGAGTGGGAGATTGATCAATTATGCATCAGCCCAACTTGTCACACTTCACACTGTACTAGCAATAGGGAGTTTATAACAGAAAAGTGAAAGGGTCTACTGAGACGCAAATGCAGATTTTTATATGACAACCCTATAGTAAGATGTCACGTAGAATTCAGCACATAAGTATGCTGGTCCAAGTTTTCGGAGCATGTCCCAGAGTATTAGAGCTAGTAACAGCCCTTAGAGGATCATCATCACCATACATGGGCACGTAGTGTTGCCACTGGGTGCTATCTATCCTTCGAAGACGACATATTTGCCACAACCAGAGGAAACTGCTTGGATCGGTGTATTGCACACCACAGCCTAGACGACTACAATAACAAAGTGGTGTCACTAAATAAAACCCTAATTGACATAAGTCACTAATTATTAGAATACACAGGTTAATTGTTTAAAACTACTACAAGCATAACATAGGCACCCAGTACATAACCTTTGTGGCCATTTTAAATTGCTCACCACCAAATACTTCGGATAGTACGAGATATAGAGGGTTTTACAGAAGTACTTCGATCTTCTGAAAAGAAGAGTACATTATTAACCACAAACACCACATCTAACAAAATATGCAGCCGTATATATTATAAACTACATATCATTTCGTTTAAGCCAGCTACTTACTGATTAAGTCTGCACGTCGCCAAAAAGTACACTAGTATTATTCGCATACGAGGTTAAATCCCCGATTAAAAAGGCAACAATGTTCTTATTCCTCAAACGCGAATTGAGATGTATATTAGGTAGTGGGTGTTTTCAGAAAGGAGAGGCGCAGGATAGCAAGAAATAATCTTGACTAGTGAGATTATTACGAAATTTGAAAGACAGGGGTCTCCTAATTTGATCATAAAAAGTAAAAGAGAATATTTTGCATATTTGTGCGTCTCTGATATATTATGCAAATTCAGATAAATACACGAAACTGTGTAGCGCATAAACTTAGTCAGATCACTTTAAATGGTTGTGGACGGAATAGAAGCTTCCGCTTAACAGGCTTCCACGTCTAGTAGGAGGGATCACCAATGAATAACTGTCTCAAGATAAGTTTCTCTGATTGAAATTGACTAGTAGCACACATTCGAACGAACTTACAAACGACTACAACTTGAATGTTGTAGAACTACGACCTCCTAATAATATGTGGTAAGCTTATAAAGGTGACGGCCTACACCAAAGGTCACACGAGTAACGCGACACTTTATGTTGTACGTGACTACCAATAAAATTATCGATGATATGACATCTTGAGAACAATGATTACTTTGTTACAAATAAATTTAAATATACTCACTGAAGCAGTGTCTACAGTTTTTCTAACGGAATCCCACGCGTGCTTTACGAAAATAATTTTCATTGCTCAATATTTTCCTGTATCCTTACGCGATGGAAGCATGGTGGCTTTTGACATCAAAGCTGGTTCAAATATGCCAAACTTCTATACCACTCGTTTTAATTTGTTTTGTCCATCTCATAAATGTTGATTTTCTGTTACAGTCTGAGAGTTTTGCAAGAATCTGTTAAACAACATTTATTTCACAATAATCACTAAGATCACTTGCAAATGACTCCGATGCACCTTTACTACCACCGAGAGGATGGAATGTTACAAATGAAATGGTTGGTTTCATTAAATACGGCAAACCTTATAGCAGCTGCCAGTAGACATGTAACTCATGCAACATAGGTGCTGAGGATTTACTGAACATTATCATCTCTTGACGCGTCAAATAAAAGATCGCAAACGATTCAAAAAATTGTCCGAAAACGGTTAGAAAAGACGTCCAGCGGTGTTAAGAAGAGAGTTTTCGAGAACATTAGTATTGGTGGAACACTCATCAAAACTTGTAAGGATATGCTAAAGCTCATCACCCTCATAATATTGATGATGTCACAGGTATTCAGTGTTTGACAACGCTTCTACCAGTAACACCTTCTAATATGTTTCGTTCCCACCAAGAGAAATCAAAAGACAGAGTCGAGGAGATCGGAAGAGTATATTTGGCGATGACCAATATACCGGGATTCTCTGATCTAATCTGGCTAGCGATTGTGGTTGATGTTGAGCACGGCGTTACTACACGTGATCTGGTGCGGATGCCTGACCGAGCGCCTTCAGCTAGATGAGTCCACTAAAACATATGGTCAGCATCCAATGTCGAAAACTTACAGAGCTATTTATTTTAGGGATTTATTTACCGCTACAGATCACTCCCCCCCTAGTGGGGCAGTGACGACCCTAAGACGTGGCCAGCCAGAAGTTTAAACCCAACGAGTTTGTCGTTGGTAAACACTCTTCTGATAGCTTACTAAATTTAGCAGCGTCTGGTCGTCTTTCCTTACTATATGGGACGGAGGTACAACATAGTAAAAAAAAGAAAATGTACAATGAAAATTTCGGATCCTCATAAACGTCATCGTTCTTTTCCAGCCGTCCTGGAAAAGAAAAAAGAAAATGTAAGTGCATGTCGAAAATACACTCGTATATGCGTAAAAACACAAGGTCGGCGGAAAAAAAATGGAAAATAAACTCATGAGCACGTAATAGCGTTAAAAAATTGTTTTTTTTGTTTTTTTTTTTTTAATAGAAATAAAAATATATAAGCATATTAAAATTGTTTTTTTTTCCAAAAAAAAAATAATATAAAATGTCGAGAAGTGCCTTACGTGCAATAGTCGTTTAAATGTTCTGGAAATCTCACCCTTCTTCCAGAACGCGTCGTTTTAAGTTTATTTTCGGATACTGTCGAAGTATCTTCGTGTGTGTTGGTTGTCGGATGAGGTATTATTAGTGTCTGAGTCGTGTCGTTCGATTGTACCGAAGGAAAATCGACGTGGATAGGATTTCCTTCTAAATACGCTGCTTTTAAGCGATCGATGCTGATGCTATCGTTGGTTCCGTTCTTATCGACTATATAGTACTTAGATTCACGTTGAAGAACTTTGAAGGGTCCTTCGTATGCTGATTCGAATGGTCGTCGATGCGAGTCTCGACGAATGAAAACGTGTGTACTATATGGTAAGTCAGGTTGAACGAAAACATCAGTTGATTGAGGTCGAGTGGAAGCAGGTTTAACTGAACGCATTGCGTTTGTAAGCCTGTTCGTGTAGGAGGTTAGATCCATGTTCATCGAAGAGCACGAAGGATCCACGAATTCTCCTGGAAGTCGAAGTGTCGTTCCATAAACGAGTTGAGCCGCAGTGTATCCAATGTCAGCTTTCACTGCATTGCGGATACCTAGTAAGACGAGTGGAAGAGCGTCGGTCCATTGTGAAACGTTTGCAGCTGATAGCGAAGCTTTCAGTTGTCGGTGAAAACGTTCTACCAACCCGTTTGCTTGGGGATGGTAGGCGGTCGTTCGGAAGCGAGTGATTCCTAAAAGTGTGGTCAGACGACGGAAAAGATCAGATTCAAACTGACGTCCGCGGTCTGTAGTGATGGTTGAAGGGCAACCGAAGTTTGCTACCCATCGTTCGACGAATGTGCGGGCCACTGTTTCAGCAGTGCTGTCCTTGATAGGTACTGCTTCTGGCCATCGAGTGAAACGGTCTACGCAGGTTAAGAGATAAGAGTATCCATTTGAATCTGGTAAAGGTCCTACCAAATCCAGATGAACATGGTCGAAACGAGCATCGGGAGTTTTAAACGAGCCTAAGGGACATTTATTGTGTCTGATAACCTTAGATTTTTGGCAGCTTACACAGGAGCGTGCCCACTCCCTCACGTCTTTATTCATGCCAGGCCAGCAAAATCGTTCTGCTATAAGCTTGATGGTTGCACGAACACCTGGATGAGAAAGTTTGTGCAATGTGTTGAAGACATTGCGTCGATAATGTTTCGGCACGATTGGGCGATCCCTACCTGTAGATGTGTCACAAAGTAAGGTTTCCTTACCTGTTCCCATCTGTTTGATGCGTAGTTTAAGTGTTGTGGACGATAACTCGTGCTGAAGATCACTGTCTTCTTTTTGAAGCTCGGCGAGTTTAAGAAGGTCGATTCCTTGGAAACTGTTCAAGGAAGTTATACGAGATAAAGCGTCTGCAACTACATTGTTTGCTCCAGAGATGTGTTGAATATCTGAAGTAAACTGCGAAATGTAGTCCAGTTGTCGAGACTCACGGGGAGAGTACTTGTCAGAAGGAGAGCTTAACGAGAAAGTGAGCGGTTTATGGTCCGTGAAAAGAGTGAATTCACGGCCTTCGATATAGTGTTGGAAATGCCGTACAGCACAATACATAGCTAGGAGTTCCCTACCGAATGTGCTGTACCTCGATTCGGTGTCTAGCAACCTTCTAGAGAAAAATGCCAAGGGTTGCCAGGAGTTGTTAACCCATTGTTGTAAGACTCCTCCGATTGCTGAGTCGGATGCGTCTACTGCGATGCTAATGGGTGCTCGGGTGTCCTGATGTGCGAGCATTGTTGCTTTAGCAATCAGTTCCTTGACTGTGGAGAATGCTTTTCGTGCGGTGTCGTCCAAATTAATGGATTTCGCATTTCCACGAAGTTGGTCGGTCAGAGGTTTCATAAGTGATGCGCATCTGGGTATGAAACGTCTATAGAAACTTACCAGGCCGTTGAACGTGCGTAATTGCTTGACGGTGGTCGGTTCTGGGTAATCCAGAATGGCCGCCACTTTGGTTCTAAGGGGTCGGATACCTTGAGCATCGATAGTGTGTCCCAGAAAGTCTAACGAGTCGGTTCCAAATTGGCATTTCTGAACGTTTACAGTTATGCCATGTTTTTGTAATCGTTCGAAAACAAGGTCCAGATGCTTGAGATGTGTTTCTCTGTCCGGACTTGCGATTAGACAGTCGTCAACATACGCGTGTACGAAGTTGAGACCTCGAAAAACGTCGTCTATGAATCTTTGGAATGTTTGAGCAGCATTCCTTAGACCGAAAGGCATTCGCAAAAATTCATAGAGTCCGAAGGGAGTTATGATAGCCGTTTTCGGTATGTCGTCAGTAGCCATAGGGATTTGGTTATACGCTTTAACCAAGTCGATTTTCGAAAAGACAGTTGTACCTTTCAAGGTAGCTGTCAAATCGTGAATGTGAGGCAACGGGTAACGATCGGGAATGGTTTTCGCGTTCAATCGCCGATAGTCACCAGTTGGACGCCAATCGTTGCTGTCCTTTTTAGGGACCATGTGCAACGGAGATGCATATGGGCTACTTGACGGTCGTATGATTCCTAAGTCCATCATGTGATCGAATTCGTTTTTCGCTAACCTTAGCTTTTCAGGAGCTAGTCGTCGTGCTTTAGAGAATACAGGTGGTCCTGTAGTCGTGATGTGATGTGTAACATTGCTGGTTACACACGGTAGTTTCGGTTGAGTTTGTTGTATCCCAGGGTACTTATCGAGTAGTGGTTGATAGAGTGGGTCTATCATATGTTTAACTGTGACTGGGGATACTCTACAACCAGTAAAAGAAGTTACGCAAACGGACAAATTAGTGTTTCCGTCTACTAGCCTCCGTTTGCGAGTGTCGATGATCAGATTGTGGTGTTGTAGAAGGTCCATACCAATGATTGGCATAGAAACATCTGCAACGACGAAAATCCAGTGGATGGGTTTGCGTAAACCCACGTTAAGGTAAACGTACCTTTTGCCATACGTAGCGATCGGTTTTCCGTTTGCCGCCTGTAAGTTTAGGGTCGATTCGTGAAGTCGGTCGTTAGGATTTGCTGGGAGAACGCTAACTTCTGCGCCAGTGTCGACGAGGTAGCGAACTCTCGTTGTCACATCTGTGACGAATAACAGACGGCTTTGTTCGCCGGCTACGGTTGCCGTTAACGCGTGCCGGCTTGGAAGTTTCCCGAATCAGTCGGTTTCGTGTTGGGAAAATTGCAGGGTTTTCTGCAATTTCTGGAAAACTTTCCATACTGGTTATGATACCAGCACCAGTCGGGGTTATCTGTCTCTCGTGGTCTAGAGACAGATCGCTTACGAGAAATGCTTCTACGTGGTGTGCGCGATCTCTTACGGTCGGTACGAAGACTAAGATAACGCGTGAGTGTGTGACATAAGTCGGTTATGTCATTCTGAGTCGTGTGAGGCTTTTCTTTGACTGAAAATACCTCGGTAGTAGAAGGTTTCGTAATTTCTAGAATGCGGTCGGCAGATACAGCTAGTTCGTCTAAGGCGTTGTTCTGGAACGAGACCAGAACTGCTTGCACCTGTTGGGGAAGTTTTGACAAGAAGAGTTGTTTGAATAGACCTTCGTCGAAAGTTCTTGGGCCTATAACCTCTCTCATCCGTTGCAACATGTCCGTCGCAGAACCGTGTTGCAGGTCGATATTGTTGAAGAGTTGATCTAACCTTTGTCGATCGGTTAGGTCTCCTCGTTTAAGAATCGAGCGTTTTAAGATTTCGTAAGGATCGGAAACATCACTAGTAAACATACTAGGTGTTACGTACCTGTTGAATTCCCGCGGCAGTGCCTTGACTACTGCGAGGAATTGTGCACGTGTGTCGATCACGCCGTGCTCGGAAAAGTCGGCTTCTGCGTAGCAAAACCAGGCTTCGATGTTGTCGGGCCAGAAAGGCATCAGTTGAAACGAAGGTGGGGACAAGGTCTTAAGCTTGAGTACTTTAGGTGTCTGTTCAGTCATGATGAAATATGAAGTACGATAATGAACGAGGGGAAAAAATATATATATCCAAGAAAAACACGAAAAAAAATCACAATGTTTAAAAAAAATAAAAAATAAGGCAATGATATATAAAAATCCCAAAAAGGAACAGACTCACAGTTGCAATAAGGTGTACCAGATCACGACGGTCTCACCAATGATGATGTCACAGGTATTCAGTGTTTGACAACGCTTCTACCAGTAACACCTTCTAATATGTTTCGTTCCCACCAAGAGAAATCAAAAGACAGAGTCGAGGAGATCGGAAGAGTATATTTGGCGATGACCAATATACCGGGATTCTCTGATCTAATCTGGCTAGCGATTGTGGTTGATGTTGAGCACGGCGTTACTACACGTGATCTGGTGCGGATGCCTGACCGAGCGCCTTCAGCTAGATGAGTCCACTAAAACATATGGTCAGCATCCAATGTCGAAAACTTACAGAGCTATTTATTTTAGGGATTTATTTACCGCTACAATATCAACGGTGTAAATGCCTCTCAGCAAACTTAATTTCTTCACCATGGACGCCCCACATGCATCTGGACAGGCAACATTATTCAAGAATAGGTACTGAAGAAAACTTGCGGACTGCCAAATGCAGGTAAAAGTGTAGAAGGAACAGAGACTAAACACTCGGAAAACTTTGTCTAGGTAGGTTACCTGTATGTTCACATAGAACTTATCAAGACATACGGGGCATGGAGGCTCACATTTTTCAACTAAAATCGTTATACGAACTCTGTGATTTTACCGAAAAATGGATAATTTGCGTTAACCAGGTAATGATAATAATACAAACCTGACAAGAGCACCATAAACATGGTCCTCCTCTTGAATAACAGACCAGAAGTTGGCGATACCCAATATGTCTTTGATCCACAACTTCAAGAAATAGGAATTAAGGGAAAACTGCCCTGTACCTACGATCTTGCTTGGTGGAACACCAAATGTACACATATGAGTCAACTAATTTTATAGAATCCGTTTTATACTCCGTAAGATTGTCCAGCACCTTGAGACGTTGAGTTAGAACCATTTTCAGAAAAGCTACTGCTGACAGTGTATAGGACGATCATATGCTGGAGGAATTTGTAGTGACTCACGTTTATCACGGGAACACGATTGGTTTATTGAAAACAATTATCATTATAACCAATTGTACCAGTGACTGTTTTTTTGTGCTTTCGTTTAACTGTGCTAAAAAGCATCCATTGTTCTTACACTTTGATTTGACCTCGCGCGAATTCGGTTACACTCTGTAACCAAGCTTGTATCCTGGCACGATCTCGGTATTCTTTCGATACCACGAGATCGCCAACGAAAATGTCTCGATTTGGTCCATTAACTGCCTTGTGGTATTTCACTTCCTGGGGATTTTATGGATATCCTGGCACGCGTTCCTTTGTAGTGGTGTTCATAGTCAACTGCGACTCGACACCACACTACAAATTATTTCGCCCCATTCGTCTTGGTTACACTTGCATCCTGATTCTGGGAGACTTCAATCTTATCAGAACCATTTACACGGGACACATGCAAATTGGGGGTGACAGCTCTATTGAAGCCCGGTTCTTAAACCTCATTGAAGATTTATGATAATTCAAAAACATGGAGATAGCAACTCAGTGGAGATACTAGCAGAGAACGTCGTGCTTTGACTGCACATTTACAAACGAGGAATTCCTAATTGGCAAACTCTCAACTATGGCTCCCCAGATCACGAAGTCTTAGCCTCTAATTTCATCAGCAGAATGTGGTGCCGATATGAATTAATAATTCCGTTGTTATTTATTTCAAATTCCAAATACGATACGTTAATTTGTGCCAACTCAGTTCTATTTGGCCTTGATTCTGTCATCCCTAAGATTTCTTAATAATATAATAATACTTATAAATATCACACAAGTCGGAACAAAAAATCTTACTCAAAAAGACTATGGCATTTCAAACTTTTGGATGAATCAGCTCTATAAAACACTTTACAGTAGGTAAATAGGGAAGCCCCTTCGTACATCGATTTAAACGCGCACTACACACTATCTTACATGCTATAAACCAGCTTGTCCTGCAAACGGTTTTCGAGAACTACAAGCAACATAATGTTATACGAAGTTGCGGTCTGAGAATAAAAAATACTACTAGGCTGAATACAGACGATCTAGTGGAAACAAGACGTTTGGGCAGTTTAAGTTTATTCTGTTAAACGTTTTAGAGGTAACTTTCGAAAGCTCAGTTGCAACACAAACTCCGCGGGTTAACCAGTGTACAATAAGAAAATAAACATTATTTGGGTTTCCTCCTAATTACTCAGCTTTAAGACGGTCAGTGCATGATAGTCGTTAAGAGTGATAAATAATCTGCATGCGGTATGCCCTTAGCTACTCTTTACTGAATGGTGAGGTCATAAGCACTCAACTGTGAGTCTATCTCTGGACCATGTCAACAGATGTTCGATGAAGTCACTTAGATGGGTGATAAATAAACTTTAAAAGCTTTTCAACAGACATGGTATGGAGTTTAGCACCGAACAAGTATTTCTAGTTTTTTACTACTCATACCACAGCTGAAGCATTCATTTAGGTCTGAGAATATCCTTGTTAACTCATATAGTGGTAAATAAACCCACATCCGCACCAGATCACAAGTGGGTACGCCTCCTCTGTAACTGCCGGCTCTCTTAGATCAAGCGCTTCTCGACATATAGATAGCTTTCCAAATATACATTCGAACCTCTTCATTCCAAATTGATTTGACTGGGGTGATTTACTTCGAGTACGAATATGTTACGTGTAGAAGCGTCGTCAATCTCTGAGTGCCTGTGGCATCTTTAAGCCCTAGGTTTTAATTGTGCTCCAATTACATGCATTAACAGCCGCTTATATCAACGGTTATCATATAATAGACATGTAACAGCCGTGCAAGTCAACTCATAATCACTGCTGAAGTGCATTGGATTAAGTAACAACAAAAAGTCATGTTAATTTCATCACATTTTGGTTACGTATGAAGATGGTAGTTTACTAGCTACTAAACGATGAGTACTTTAAATTACCGCAATAGTATATAAGATAAATATAGACACATTGTTCTATTAAGTGTTTTAATAACAGCTATGTGCACAAGCTATTTTCTTGATTCTTGTACGCTGCATTAGGAAAGCATGAAAACATAATCTCTCTGCGTCAGAGAAACAAATGTAAAGACGATGAATTTCGTGTTTAAGTTTATGCACTTGCATCACAGGAAGTTAATCATGGAAAAGTAATAAAATCATACACCAAGAACCAAGCATAACAAGTATTATCATAATAGCTTTGTTGAGCGCTCATAAGGAGATAAAGAAAAATGTATGAATCCCAGACGTACCACATTTTATTTAAAACCACTTTGTCAACTGACGAATATGCAGACTAATATACACATCCATGGGTCACCAGTTGCATCTACTATATCTAGGGAATATAAAATCACGAGATACTTAGGTTTCCTCTTCACTGAAGTGATGGAGGAGAAAATAGCCCAGTCAGACCAAAGCACTAATTAAGTTATATTACCAAACACTTTCATACCTAGATGGTATTCCTTCAACCGAAGAAAAACAGTCTAACAACCAGTTTCTACCGGCTAAATGACTAGAACTCATGGAAAAGCTTATTCATCTGTTTCAGTGACCTTTGGAGAATGAGTTGGCACTCCTCGACAACTCATCAGCCGCGTATTCCATTTTCGAGTTAAACAATCCGAGTTCGAAACACCAAGGTGATATGGTTCTTACTGGTCCTGTGAACATTAATAAACATGTATACCTGTTTTCGTCTAGTTCCTAAACTCTAATGATTTTAAGTACTGTAGGACATGGTCAATTTATAAGTGGTCATGCAAGGCAAATCTGAATTATTCCGACAGAATAAGGACCCACAGATTACCAGTAAAAGTACTTTGACTTCGCTAATTTACTATTCTCGTGTAAGGTGTTTATAAGTTGAAAACTTTGCAGTGTGAAACAGTAACACTGGTATACAATAATGACTGAAAGTGCTGTTTATTGGGCCAAAACAATAAGCATTATAAAACTAACCGAACAACACTAACTACTATCGTATTCGAGTTATATATATTAATCAGATTTATATATTTGTATATGGTTTGTTGTGACAATATTATTACAAAAGTGCTATTACAATAAAATCTTAAAGCAAATTGGGTGTAAAGAAACAAATTAGTCGAATGTTCTGTTCATAATTACTAAGGCATTCAAATAAGTTAAAACATGTGGATCTTTTATATAATTGATTGAGTTATCGCAAATTGACGGAATGAATATTTTTTAACCGGATTTCCAAACATATGTACCAGAGTATTGAAAACCTGCTTTTTTACACAAAATATCTGCTTCTTTCGGGCCATTACGACTGAAATAGAAATATGGAAATAATTTAACGGACATTTTTTTACGAATATAAAGAATAATTTCCATATGTGTACTTGCTTTTCTTCTAATTATAAATCGTCCTGCACTATTCATCAGATTCTAAGTGTCAAGTCTACTTTACTTAGCTGGTAATAGATGTGGTTGGAATCTTAGATTCAGTCCGATTTATGATGCAGTAAAGCAGGCCGAACAATATTGAGTGGCTTCCGTAACCGATGGTACATAAGTGATATGTCTGTTGACTGCTTAAATGACTTATCCTTGATACGAAACCCTAAAATCCGACGGCGCGTAGTCAAAACACGAAGACTACTTATATGAATTTAATATGACCCCGGAAATAATTTAATATATGAATATATCACTTTTTATATGATTTACTTATAGTCAGATTTTCAGAAATTAAACTAAGTAATATTCAATATCAATTAATCAATAGCTTACTATGTGAGCACATAGTTGCAGTATCATACAATTAAGCCTTTATAATCAACAGATATAGCTAATTGACTGTTTCTCCAGATGTGAGTACATGGTATAAACCATTGATCAAAATCGATTTCATTTGTCAATAACACTCCAATCGATTTAGTCACTGAACATAATGTCAATATCAACTCTGTTAAAGATGTTCTTGGGTTTAGTTCAGTACTGATCTAAATCTGATAACTAAAAACTTGAGGTAATAGATAAATATTTAATCATGATTTCAGTTTTTTTCAATAGTGTACATTATTTATTCATTCTATAAAATTGAAAATTTCTTAGAATTACTATGAATACGTAGCCGTTGAGTTGATAAGGATGGTAATTAAGTTAACTGACGTTTTCTAACATAAACAAGACTAATAGGCAATGGATTTAGGCTTATATCTTATTCTGGCTGTTATGCACACATGACTAATCTAACTGCCCGAGTGAACATCTATTTTAAAAAGTATCTCGAAAATTTTTTTTAAAAATAAACATAGATACATGTAATAACTATGGTTGGTGTCTTTTAAATAAACACTTGACAGCTGATAGGACAGGTCTATTCCATCTATACAAACGGATCTACAATTCTTTATGAACACATATTTAACTGTCTATATACTATTGTAAACATAGTTATAGAAGTATCCTTTTAGATTCAGTAATCAAAAAAGTGCTTTAGTTTTAAGCACGATGCTTCTACAATAAGCAAAGTTATAAATACAAACGCATGATGTTCTGATGAATCTAGACTGAACCCATTAACGCATACTTGATTGAGATAGCCAGTTCAACTTATGAATTGTTAATAAAAGTTTCAAAACAGTAGGTGAATCTGACCATAATTTGTGCAATGAAAAGGAAAATATATTTCAATTACCTCCCATAAATGTATGGATATGGAGTGATTTTATTCTCTTCCAAGTATTTTAATACAGGTGTTAAAATACGCCAAGCTTCGCGTAGTTCATCAGAACGTACAAAATTTGTCTGAACTCCACAGAATACATCGAGAATCAATCGTTCGTAAGCGTCGGGTAGTTTGATGGCCTGATAATATTTAATAATACATTAATAGAAGAGAAAAGACAACTATACTTTATATCGCTGAGCATAAGTTAAGTCTAATTCAGTTTCTTCTGTTTGAAATTTCATACCAGGAGATTTCACATTCAATTTAATATAAACTGCTTCGTCCGGTTGTACACGTATAACTAATTCATTACGTGGTAGACCTTCTTTTGAACCGAAAAGATGAATATGAGGTTCTTTAAACTGAACTCTGACTTCTGCTTTACGTTCATTTAGTGCTGCATACCAGAAATTTGGAAAAAAAACAGATGTAAAGGCAAAAGAAAACGTTAACAAATTATAATCTAAAAAAACATAAAGACCTTTTTTTAAATCAAGTGAATTTAGTATACTTATCCTCTTATTAAATAATGTGCTCCCCAGAAAATAATGATACTAGTAATGAATATGTCTGAAAAACAAGAATCATTTAAGAGACATTATGACACTTCCATGGAATATCAGTAAACCGAAATTCTATCCATGACCGACGGTGAAAACCCAACAATATTGCCCATTAAATTCCTGAGTTTTGGATGCTGACTCATGCATAAAAAATTATAATTCTCTCATCTTTTTTCTACTGATTGACCGAAATACGCTCAGTAACGTCTAATATGAGACAATCACTATCTTAATAATTAAAGAAAGGTGTGTACTCGGTACAAAACTAACAGAAGATGAATTTCCATATCATTAACCAAATTTAATAATATTTATTAAATTTCTGTTAAGAAGATGGTCGACTGAAGTACGGCATGACTCTTGTGCTGAGATTAAATCATTATCTAGCTGTTCAAATACAGGAAAACGTATCGAAATTCACGATGATGACACGCACTGTCTGATAGTCTCAAACACTGAACTGTTCACCATATTATTAAATTCTTAAGTTTAATATTGAAAAGCAAAGCATTGAAAGTTTTCTGTCTTTTATTTTGTGATCATATCCCATAGCCGAAATAGCATTATTGAATAGACAGTTTTGGTAGCCATATATGTCTTAAGTTTTCTCGAAAAGTTTCATCAATACCAAAGATTGGAGTTTTAACAGAGTATTTCGTATTCTAAATAAAAGTTCTATGAAAACTAAAATGTATATGGCATAATGGATTTTGTTTTTTACAGATAAACATATTGTCAATGAAGATCTGTTAAACAAAGCTACCTTAAAACTTGTAAACACAAATGTACGTAAAATATACTTAGGTTTTCAGTATGGCATATAGATAACAGTATTTCAAGTCCACAGGACGCTATCCATATGCATTTTACTAAATAATCATTAAATATAACAGGAAGTAGATTTCCTTCAATCGTCAACCAGTGTTATTGTATGATATATTTTTTTGAAAAACATAATTTACAGTAATAGTTCAAATGCAAACTAAATACAAGTATGTAATCATTAAAAGAAGTCAGGATTTAGCATCATTATTTACACCATTAGAATAAAAAGGTACAAATTAAAAACATACAGAAACATGTGTAAACCCTTAAACAACCAGCTTACATTACATGTTTATTTCATATAAATGCAGATAAGATCACAAGCTGGCGTACAAAGTAAATGTGTATATATCTTTAAAACGTGTCCGACCTCAATCAACGAGGCTTACATTGTTATTTCCAGATCTATCAAAGGTAACTAAAAGGCTGGATAAGTTCCATATTTTATCGTTTTATTTTCCAAATGTTACACCAGTTAAACAAATCGATTGGAAAATTGCTAGAGAATTTTGATAGTACATATTTTTCTAACAAACTCGATCAACAATAAATAAATGAAAAGTGAAAATACACAAACAACATGTAAACTAACCTTTCCCTGCCCGGAGAATGAATGGAACACCCTTCCAACGATCATTTCTCACATATAACACAGCACATACATAAGTAGGTGTTATGGAATCTAAAATTGTTCAGAAAATTAAAAAAAATCGAAAATCATTTGGTTGTACAATAATGTTTAGTTGATATCAAAATTTACGATTATTGGTTTCTAAATATAACTAAGATTTTACAAACTTTAATAGTGATCACAGTGAAAATATTGTACAGTGAAGTGTTTTAAGAAATTCGTAAACTGGAACAATGAAAAATGAGAATATCGCAAACAAATAAGGTCATCAATCGGTACAAGTAGATTCATGCGGATATTAGAAATATAATCTTATTGCTTCGCATAGTACCTTGAATTTCTTGGTGTTTTTTTAAAGTTTGCCATATATGTAACTTAAGATCGGACTATGTTCGTTAAATATTTTATGGGTTATACATGACACATTTAGTTCCCCAAAATATATGGCCAGTTGCTTAGCAGTTCAGTCATCGAAAGAATTTTCAATTAGAATTAAAGGTTTGGTTGTATGAACAAACTGAATACTTGGTTACATTAATCGCCCCGATATTTCTTCTATTCATTGCGTCATTACAATCCATCTTGTAATACTGGGCACCTACATTAAACCAGATCTATTGCATTTCAAACAAAAACATCTCAAACTGTAGAGCTGAGTGATGCGAATTCGAACCTGATAGGAAGCACCAGTTCTCTTAAGACTGAAGGTACGCCTTGTTGACAGGTCCAAAGTAGTAAGTAAACCAGGTCTACAGTTTTCTAATCACTACCTCTAACTAACTGACAAGGATTTCATATTTTTGTTAAAGTAACTCATGAAGTAACTATAACAACGACCACACTCATTCAGACCTGCTAAAGTTCCTAGTCTTAATGAGTGAATCATCATTTGCAGCTTAAAAAACTTGTGTTGTATACGTCTTTAATTTGATGCCTGTACAATATACAACTGATATCTTTTAAGCAATTAATTACAAGTGAATATTACCATATATGGTGACAGGGGTGATCATGTTATATACCTTTGGTGAATAACAGGATAACAGTTGAGTAAATCATTTACATGATTGATTTAGAATACTAAGTATCTACTGTTTGAGTTGAAGTGCTTTAGGTAACCAGAATGAATTATTAAATCAAAAAATGATCGTTAAACTCTTGGAACCAAAAGTAATCAAATGAAGACAAAACTCTAGCACACATACAAAAATACACATGATAAAATGTCTAAGTATCTCATTGCTAGTAATCAAAAAGTTAGTCATTAATAAGTGTTCATTAATAAGGATAGGTGATTGCTCACATATTCTATACAAAGTACCCTTGACAAGTAAAGTTCAAGATTTGTGTCACAGTAAGATGAAAAAACAAGTAATTTTAAGTCGCCTAACATTGTTTATTTTATTTATTTTAACACATAGATATTGGTACAAGGACGAATCAAATACATATGTGCCACACAAATCTCATTTGATACGTGTGAGGGATGTGATACTGCCCTGGTGCCCAAACCGAAACAAGTGGTTTTCTTAGGAGGCCACACCCGGAGCCTTTAACCTAGAAGCTTAATCCACAAGGCACTGGAGCAACTTCAGAACATGCAGTCCCATGGTAGCCGGTGACCAACGATTGATTTATACGCCATTTGTTCCTTCGGGATACTGGAGCTCATGTGCACCATTGGTTTGGAATGTGGGTTTTCCAACTCCCCTAGGTGGACTCTCCGTGTCCACCAAACCGGTTAAAACACCGGACATTCGCTTTCTTCTCAATTTCGTAAACAGCACCTCCCGACACGAGAAGGCAGTGAGTAGGACTTCCCTGACAGAGGTTATATACGCGTGGCCATGTGAGAGCATTTCGAGAGGGAGAGCGGACTGTCCTCACCCTCGGCCGTACCAGGGCATTTGGGAGCCTAAAATTGTAGTAAAGTATTGAGATGTTTCATCACGAGAAGAGTACACCCTCCAAATACAACAAATTTGAATAGAAATGCATGTTTTTGCTAAATTCAAACTAATTTTGTTAAAACAAGAGAATGACTGAACGAAAAGATTTCTGCACAGAAACTTCATTCTCACAACTGTACAATCGAGTACATACTTGTGTTTTTAATGATTAATCGAACATAGTAAAAAATGGAATACGTGTAAAGCATAACAAAGTGATTCAAGACTTCCATTATCAAATGAAGAAAACTTTCTTTTAGACGAGATCATTTATATTTGTATGGTAAATTTACCATAACGACTATAAATACGAATGCACAGCCCAAGTAAAAAATTATTACTGAAGAGTGGTTCGATCAAAATTAAATTAAAAACATCATAGAAATTAGATAGTGCAATACGATAACATAAAATTCGATAATGATATAGGCGCAAAAGTAAATCCGTCAGGGTTAAGACTTCAACAGAGTGACATAGAGAGAATAATTCATAAAAGTTTCAGAAGATAAACAAAGTAAAATGAAAGTAAAATAAAATGATAACTAAATAATTACAATTTACAAATTAAGTTCATGGTGAGATAAGACGCTGGACACTTTTCTTTTGTAGATATAGTTCTGGCTTTGTTATGGATAGTGACGGATTTATAAATACGTAGGAGACGGAAACATATTGCTTTTGTTAAGTTTCTGTTCACCTAGCAGACGACTTTGATCAGAAGATCAGTTGTGATAAAATTTTCACTGTTGCCTTTCCCTAACCATGCGAAGTAGTGTCTCTGGACTCGTTTAGACAAAATACACATTATAAGACAAATATACCTTGTTCCACAGGAAAAAGTGAATTAATAGATGAATAAGGAATAGGCCGGATTCAAAATTTTTCTTTTAAGTTGTCGGTTTTCAAGGTTGACGCACAGAATTTCCTTTTGATGATATCGTCAGATGCGTAACCCTTAAAGTTAGCATTTATGTGGAGTATCTTAGGAACGAATATTTTGATGTTTTTGTAAACAAATCGTGAAAATGAGTTTCGAATTAGTTTTTCTGAGAAGGTTGAGCTCTTCATTTGCAAAGTTGGGAGTGAAGAATCATCAGATTCACTAGATGAGATATAATCAAATTCATCTTCCAGTTGGTAGGGATTCTCTACAAACGGATCTTCAGAACGTTCCATAAAAATCTTCTTGCCATTTTAATATTAGAGAAGTGAAGATTTAGTTCATTTCTCTTCAAATATGAATCTGAATGATGGGTAAGAGTTCATGAAGATATGTAGAATATTATTGAAATTGATATTATTATAGGAGATACCAAAATCATCACTTGTATATTCTTTATACAAATAAAAATTGTATTTGTAAACTCTTCAAGGACGGTTGTTGCAATTTCACAAAAACGCTGATTGCATCACTGTTTGTGAATCATGAGACCCTTCAAAAATTCACACCAATGATATAAAGTTAATCAAATTATACATACGTTATTCGAATACCAACAAACAAATCTCGCAGTTATTAAAAACTGTATAAAGGCTTCATGTTGAAAACTGGAAAAAAGTTGGACTACCTTTAGGAACTGATGGATCATCCGTGTAAGACAACGAAGCAGGTGGACTTGTTGCATTCGGATCTGCAACGTATTGTCCAATTACAATGTCGTCTATTGTTAGAGGTTCAATGCTTCGAAGCACACGAACCTACAAAGAATATAATAAAGGAAAAAAGTATGTATTATTAAAACATTACACTGTTTTCTACGTTCACACACATACACACACCACCATCATAACATAATCTCACATGTTTTCATCCTTAACATAATTCTGTTAATAACTAAACACGAACGAACTATAAAAATAATTTACAGTACATAAATTAAACGGTAGAAAGATTTAGCTTAAAACCTGACATAATTAAACCACGAAATATTAGTAGCATACGTAAAAACTATAGTGATGATCATGTACTTATGAAGTGATATTTTAAGTGCAGTTACGAGCACACGTTGATATCATCAAACATATTTAATATATATAGAGCAAATATTCATTGGAACCCAGTAACAGCTAACCAGAGAGAGAGAGTGACAGGCGTTTGGATATATTACGTCCTCGTTACGAAATAACCACAGTATGATTTTATGTCAGCAGTTTGAAGCACGATGAAAATGTTTTCTAGCGACGGAATATCTAACATTTGATTTGCATCGGTTGAGATTACCTAGCCGTATAATTCCAGTTTATTTACTGAACAATTATCAAAAAACAACGGAACACCAAAAACCAACACTTTTAGATTTAAGAGTATTCAGTAGAAGCCACTCATAATATAACGAGAAATAAATTAGCATAACTGAATCTTAGAACAAGTTACAATTGAACGGTAGGGTAAGAACTAGATGATTCACATTTCTCGTTTCAGTCACTCCGCAACATATAACAATAATGTGCTCGACATAGATCTTTTTGAAAGTTCTGTTGAGAAGTCGTACCATGTAAAGCTGACAAAACCGACAGTCAGGTAGTAACCCTTTGATACTATTGAGCGCAGATTGCGTTATATCGCGGATTGACTAATTGTTAATGTAAAACTGTTGAATTCTGTACCACTGACTATATGATGTGTTAGTCAAGAGGTCTGAAAGTTACGAGTCCAATCTCGTGTGAGAAAACTTCGGACAAGTTTCAAACAAAGGTTATAAATCTACTCCATTTTTGATGATTTATGTTAAAATGACATATTGTTGTTCAAGAAATTGTAACTGCGAATGAATTTTAAAATCTTATCACGACTAAAAATTTTACGTTTTTGTCGCAAATAGATTTTACCAAATAGAAAGATCTAAAACATTAGTTAACAGAAAAATTTAACAAATAAAAAATGACGATGAAATTCACTAATTTGTCTTATCATACACCAGTCAGTCAGTTAGTAGGAAGGATTTGAATGTGACCAACTTGGTCTCGTGTGTTGTTACGGGTATGAGGGCTGATGTTACTTCCCAGCTTCCCACACCGTGGAAGGGTATTTCTTGAGGAACCTGAAAAGGAAATTGGATTAGTGTCGGTCTTAACGACCTGGGAGCGTGACTGCAGAGCCCAAGGGACAACTGCTTGAGGCCGGTCGCGCACGGCCTTTTTGTGGGAGGTTTTTGACGTGTGAGCTCCGTTCTTCAAAGGGCCTTACCGCCGGAGACGGAAATCCGTGAGGCATGGTGAGGTGTGACATTTTTAGGGCCGACTTTTTTCAACCCCTTCCTTTCTTGTGAGAAGGCAGCATCGCTGTATATGCTGGTTGTCCGAGGGAAACACCTTACTGCTGTCACACTCCTCTACAGTCAGCAGTACGACTTCGCCCTCAAACCTTGAGTTGCTGCTTTTAGTCTTACCGTTCTCCAATCGACCTGCCTGGCATGGTAGAACCTACAGGAACATATGTTCCAGCCAATATAGCTCGGTTGGGTCATCACGATAGGCAAACCCGACCACTGCGTCAAGGTAGCAGCTACGGTCGGGATCATACACCTCGAATATACAAATATGAAAAATCTGATATCTTTGATGTTACAGATGCAAATAAACTAGGATGAAAACAATGAATTTGTATCATGTTTATAATACTTAATACTTCATATCTCACGTTTCTTATCGACGAAAAAAAACTTAGTCCACGATAGAAGTGAAGACATAGGTACTAATAATCTTGAAACAATAAAACAACTCATTATTAAATTGTGTTATACCACTTGTTTAGATTTTATGTCTATTAATGTAACCACAATTGAAATTTTTCTGTTAGATGTAACTGAAGACAAACAAAAAGGCAAATTTGAGTGAGTTTCTCAATACATAACAGTATCATATGAATAGAACTATGCTAATAAAGTATTTAATGTATTAAAATGAATGTATATACTCACAAATAGGAAACCACAATTAAAATCACTAATACTCTTTATTATGTTATTAAAAATTGTGCTAAGAAATGATGTCACAGAGTAGAATTAACAAGACAAAATTCTAAAGAATAGTAGCGATTCACTAATCGTTTTTATTTTATGGTATTGAGAAAGCTTGTAATTCAGTTTGAAACAGCTTACTGAATGTTACACTGTTTTTTCATAGACTGATATTTATGTTTTAGGCTATAATAAGGATTATTGACGACACTATAATTTATGGACTAACCAATCAGGCTTAAGATAGCAGGTCTTGAATTTTGATGCGGAATTCATTCATCCATTTGGTTAAAGAGTATTTTGACATTTTAACTTATATCAGTTCGTGATGAAAACCCAAAATCTAATTCTTAACCCTAACCATCAACTGTAAATCATAATTCTTATTCTTCACACAGGTTTATAACTCTCATTTAGCCCTAGTAAGTAAGTGGACATTCTGAAGACCACTTTAGCGTCGCTTAAAGGTAGTCCATAAATTATAGTTTCAACGAAATTATCTATAATATGGTTTTATTAAAATGTGCATATGTATAGGAGTATCGAAAGATACCATCAAAGGAGGCTATACATATGATGTAGTTCGTGTATTTGTAGCTTTTTATTTGCTATTCAACAAACAACTTAGAAATGTAAAGTTGAAAACGAAATAACAATTTAGTCGAGGCAAATTATTTTCATTTACTACTTGTTTTTTTACTTTCAACTGTTCCCACCCAAAAGTAATAATTTTTGATTAAAGATTATTTTACAAATGAATATAAGTTCTCAAAATGAAAAATAAGCTAATTATAGGGTTCATTACAGTTTATAATTAGTAACCAAGGTATTTTAGATAAAGATTAGATTATACATTACATTATAAAATATGTTTGAAAATACTCAATAAAAGGAAAACTTTACTACATTTATATAGATAAAATAAATTCCAAATGAAATGTGTTTTTCACTTTAGAAACAAACACTGAATCCTCAAATGACATTTTAACATTGGCTAACTGTATTCTGAACTATAAAGTAGAAAAATTAACTGAATAAAGGAAACAACTTAAAAGATATAAATTATTTTGACAAAACTTAATCATTAGAAAAGTAGGCAAGAATCTGAGTTCATAACTGGTGAATTAGAGATTGGTTATTCAAGTTAAAATGACTTTGTAGACATTTCGTTAATTTATAAGTTCTAGGTATTTTAATTACGATCAAAAACTAATATCATTTGGAGAACAAATCAAAACTTCTTAAAGAATGAATAAATTATTTTATTCTAGTATAGTATTTATTGTTAAAAATTCATAAGCAAGAGGTCAAATTGATTAAGAGTAAATAGAAACTATTTTGATGATAATAAAACTGATGTAAAAATAGGGGGAGCCATTGAATAACGTTTTAATTGAACTAATTCACATGCTTTGTAAAGGGAATCGACAACAAACGTTTCTGTCATTAAAACTTATTCGACTAACCTACAACTTCATAGAAATATTCTGAAAAATATTGCCCAAGGGATAAAAAAGATCAGATACATAGTATATTGTAGAGTATACAAACTACTTAGCAATTTATAAGCATCGATTTAGTCCAATCAATTGGAGGTATAGTACAAACGTAAATGCAATGAGAAAATTACACAGGTATATAGTGGTAAAAACAAGGGAAATTGTTAAGAAGAAATAAATTGTATAGGCTGATGGGTGTAGTTAAAATGTCAACGAAACTGTGATACCGTGCAAAAACCCATTCAAATAACACATATTGTCTTTAATATTAACGGTTTACATAATTTAAAAGAAAATAATTCAATAATTTAAAAATACATATACAGTTTACAGTATGAAAAACAAGCTTTATGGATTGTGTCAAACGTTTTCTTTAAGTTACTCATGTGAGTACAAATATTTGTCACCAACTTACAGAATCATGTGGAATAATTCTAAATATTCGTTATTTAGAAAAATGTGTGACTTAAATATCTCGCTGAAATCATTAATCGATCGCTGTTAAACCGCCCATCGAAGGACTGGAATCACTGAACGACTGTTTCGTCCTAGAGTGGGACTCCTCAAAAATGAGCATCCACGACCCCTCTCGCGGAACTCAAACCCAGGACCTTCAGAATAGCGCGCGAATATTTCGATTTCAATAGATAAGAACAAAGATGAGCTTTCTGGATTTTCCATGGGTATGTAACGATTCAACAGGTTTTGTGTAACTAGTCACAGCATAAATCTAATCAGACACGTTTATTACTGAATTTCTGAACAAAATCCATCATTATTTAATAAAGAGAAAATAAGAGTATTCGAGAGATTCTTACTTTCTCACTTGATATACACTGGAAGTCAACTTAAACTGAATGAAGTTTTTTAAACCAATTTATCGATTATCATCCAGTTCGCTGCACAATATCTGCATGTAAGTTGGCTGGCAACAGCTGACATCGGTTTTATCAGATCAACTCTTTGTATTCACGAGAAATGTACACAAGAGCTCTTGGAGACTCAACCGGTAACCTACATTTTAAACTATTACGTAGTACCTTATTCGAAAGGATTTATCATACACAAAATCTCATTTCAGCATGCTATCGTAATTTTCGATTGTTTCCTACTTTATAGCTATTGTTAACTGCTAACCATATATGACTTTGAACTTTGTTACTGATCATTGTGCAGCCTATCGGGTTTCACAACAACCTGTTTTAAATTCCTAATTAAAATTGTTGTTACTGTGCTAGAATTTGATAGCATTACATAATTCGGCTACTATTGATATCTTATTTCAGCAACATAACATTTAAACAATCACTGTTCACTATTTTCGCTATAATCAACTTTCTACGTGTTTTATATTCAAATTTTAAGTGAACTTATATGAAAAATAACACGTGAGAAATTATTCAATAAACTTCGCTATTGATTTTCACTTTGAAGTAAATTAAAGGTTTTATTTATATGAGATAACAACCAACTGTAAACAGCAAAATAAGCACGAAAACTACTTTTGCACCAATTGATCAATTTGCAATAACCAATTAAATGTTATCCAGTTATTAAAGTCTATCAGATTCAAACAGAGTGCATCTTGATGTTGAACCACTTAAACTAGTAGTCACGGTGAGATAAAATCAATAGGAATGGATTACGAATGAGAAGTGGACAGTATGACGTTTGCTACTACTGAGTGATTAATAAGCATAAATATATTAGTCCAATAAGAGGTTACTCATTGCTCGAATAGTTTGGTATTATTATCTCTCAATGTGACGTGTTCGAATGCCACAGCGAAACTCAATTCGTTATGGATTAAAGATATGCCTAGCAAATGAGTCTCAACTAACTTGAAGACTACAACATTCAGGACTACCTGTTAATTGCTAACGACAACTTAACTAAGAAAATCCTATTGAGATTCCTGATTAATCGGTAATCTATTGATTTACAGCTCAAGATAGAAACTATTGACAATATTATTTTCAAAGGAAATATAGTTAAGAGGTATAGATTAATCCTTCTCAAAATAAATTATGGTATCAATGTCAGTACCACTCTTTTCGTATCAATATACATATATGAGACAGAGGTTATAGTAGACTTGTATCAGTAAGAATGTTCACTGTATTTACTAATCGACCAACTTTGACCAACAATTAAGATTAACGCTTATGGACTGATGTTTTACAACAGTCCACTTGAACATTGAGTCAACGATGATTCAAATATTTCCTATACTACATGAGGAAAAGATACTGGTTTTAATTTACGACAACCCAATAGTTTTATGTGGAATGTACACAAAAAAATATTAAACGATGTTAAAAGCCGAATCAAGGTGTCTAATTATTTTACTTGAAACATGGAACGTTGAACAATGTTCAGTTTGCTGTTGTATGGTTTTTATTTTATTTATTTTAACACATGGATATTGGTACAAAGACGAATCAAATACATATGTGCCACACAAATCTCATTTGATATGTGTGAGGGATGTGATACTGCCCTGGTGCCCAAACCAAAACAGGTGGTTTTCTTAGGAGGCCACACCCGGAGCCTTTAACCTAGAAGCTTAATCCACAAGGCACTGGAGCAACTTCAGAACATGCAGTCCCATGGTAGCCGGTGACCAACGATTGATTTATACGCCATTTGTTCCTTCGGGATACTGGAGCTCATGTGCACCATTGGTTTGGAATGTGGGTTTTCCAACTCCCCTAGGTGGACTCTCCGTGTCCACCAAACCGGTTAAAACACCGGACATTCGCTTTTCTTCCTCTCAATTTCGTAAACAGCACCTCCCGACACGAGAAGGCAGTGAGTAGGACTTCCCTGACAGAGGTTATATACGCGTGGCCATGTGAGAGCATTTCGAGAGGGAGAGCGGACTGTCCTCACCCTCGGCCGTACCAGGGCATTTGCGGGCGTTGTATGGTTTGAAAGATTGATCCAATTACACTATTTCGATCTGCAGATTTCGACCAACGAAAAGGTCATTTAATATTACCGTTTTCATACTCGTAGTGAGTAGTTCCAACCAAAGATTCGAGCTATCTTGAAATCTGTATCTCATTAAGAAACTATATGTGACAATCAACAGTTGTCATGTTGTCTTTTAGATTGTATACAGTTGTTGTCATCAGAACTATACTATCTTGCTGGGATTTACGCCGTCACATGGCTACTAAGGACAGATGGCACAGAGACTTAGTACATTTAGCACAGTAACTTAAACAATTTTCATGATTAAAGCAAAGAATTCTTACAACAAAGTAAATTCGTTTTAATAGACACGAGTCAAATAAGATGAAGGACAGTATTCATTAAATAAAATAGTCTCATCCCTTAAATATCCTGTCAAATACACTGAACTACTTCAAAAGTACACAATCCAGTCAATATAGGCTGAATATGTCATGGACATGCGCATAAATAACTCCTATAATGAATAATGCATTTCACTAAGTTCCTCAAGCAAATTCTTGTAATATTGATAATATTTTAAGTCTACATTTCGTTAGATAAAATAAATCATTATTAGTTTGGTTGAATGAGTTTTGTGGAGATGGGTTTAATTTGCAGGTTGTATTCCTTATACTGAACTCAGTCCGTGTACGACTAAAACCCACGGGTCACTAGACGGCAGTTTTATCCTTGTATAAGACTCAGCAGCAGCATGTGTCAACGACCTTGCCAGAGATTGAACCTAGAGATTCAGTTCTCGTGTTAAACGTCTGACCATTAGAACCACTGGGTCTGCTTCCAGTGGTATAATTCTAGCTTATATAGATTTGTGATAATATAGCATAATGACCGTTCAATGCCACCGGTAACAACGGTTTCGCTTCCTGGTTTTTATTTGTAGTCCAACTGAGATTAACCTGTGATAAATACAACTCTATAAAATTAGTATCAAACTAAGCATCAATATCGGTAACAACATCAAGATGAAATATCAAACAAAAATGATTACAATCTACCTTCTCATCACGTATATCATCTGCATTAACTGAAATAGGTTTTTCCATTGCTACCAACGAAAGAATTTGAATAAGATGATTCTGAACAACATCACTAGCGATGAAAACAGTATGAGAAAAGCAGAAAGATGAATTCACGAGAATACATATTGTCTATTTAAATGAATCAACACAATGAAATGCAATATTTTAAAATTCAAATGTTTACCTTAGTGCATAGAAACCCCTAAATGTCCTGGTACGGCCGAGGGTGAGGACAGTCCGCTCTCCCTCTCGAAATGCTCTCACATGGCCACGCGTATATAACCTCTGTCAGGGAAGTCCTACTCACTGCCTTCTCGTGTCGAGAGGTGCTGTTTACGAAATCGAGAGGAAGAAAAGCGAATGTCCGGTGTTTTAACCGGTTTGGTGGACACGGAGAGTTCACCTAGGGGAGTTGGAAAACCCACATTCCAAACCAATGGTGCACATGAGCTCCAGTATCCCGAAGGAACAAATGGCGTATAAATCAATCGTTGGTCACCGGCTACCATGGGACTGCATGTTCTGAAGTTGCTCCAGTGCCTTGTGGATTAAGCTTCTAGGTTAAAGGCTCCGGGTGTGGCCTCCTAAGAAAACCACCTGTTTTGGTTTGGGCACCAGGGCAGTATCACAGACCTCACATAAATCAATGGTAACTGCTACTGGTCTCATTGTTATTGCATGTTGCATATGTATTTGGCGCCCTCTTATACCAATGTTCATATGCTAATGTTCCTATACTAATGTTAAATATATGATATCATGAAATGGAATTGCATTTGATAATATTATGTAACGTCTCAATCAATCGGTAGACTTCGATATCATTCAAAAATGAACAAAGAGTTATTTGAGAATTCTTTTATCAACTTAAATGAATTATTTACATTGATAACTTTCAAAAGTGAACTTATAATGACAGAGTATACTAAACTATGAATTGTAAATTTCATCAATTTCAAATCTAACAATATCATTAATAATTAGTGATGTGACCTAAAATTAATGCGATATATAATACATCATTCATTGATTATTTTACTTCAATTCACTGAACATTGGTGTTAAAATATACTTCTCATTAATTAATGTTATTTGTTTGGTTTTTTAAAGCCATTTTTCTAGTTTAGATTATCGCCTATTATTGATGTCATTATTTCGATTCATTTGGTTCTCTTGGTGTCAATTCATCCTAATAACATTGATTTGAAGTGCGCTAGATCATACACTTTCTCATGTCTCTCAGAGAATACACCTAACAGATAATTAAGTGAATCATTCCTAACAAGAACAAATTCTAAATTTCTTGACGTCTACCCCAAAATCTTTTTGGTTCGATCAAGCATCTTTCATAAATTGAATGGGAACGGGTTTTTTAATTTAAATAGCGATACTTTAGATGACTGTCTTTTTGGTTAATTACTCCAAGCACTTGAACCTTGTGAATGTGTTATTGTTTCGGATTATAATATTACCTGCCCATTCATTCAAACAGTCAGGTTGTTCATATAAACATATACACTTTACATTTTTGTCAATGAAGCTCCATTTTTACGCCGAGTGACTGACACATAGTTCATGTTTACTGTCAGTAGTCAGATAATAATCTTCGTGAATTTGCTGAGAATGTGAATTAGCTAAAGTTCAATATAACTTATTCAATAACGACTTGATGGTACATCATAAACTTGAAGGTGAATAAAGTTTATCGCTGAAGTTATACTTTACCGATGATGAATACAAAAATACTGTTTATGCCAACACTGATTTTATAAGTTACTCAACCGACTTCAATTTATGATCGCAACTGTTGTCAAAATAACCGATATGTAGAAATTATGATGTCAAACTATGATTTCGAGATAATTCTACCCACAAACTTACAACAGCTGGAGAACCATTGAAAACCAAGAATAATCGATTAATTGATTCGTTCCAACCTGGGACTCGTCAGCGACGCGTATCCACAACCCTATACATGTAGCCGAAACCATGAAATACAGAATATCGCGCACAATATAATTAAACCGAAAAATTGAACGAATCTGCACTGAACCAACTAAATATTTTCATTGAATAACAATGAGCTATCATTCATAATCTCGTAATTTGGTACGTTTAAATACATTGTTTTAAGGTAGAAGGGAATTTCTACCTACCGAATAATTCCGAATTGATCAAAATACCCACCACGTCCTTCGGTTCCGAATGGTTCTTTAAATGATATTGTAATATTGTCAATATTTTCACGATTCCACAGTGGACTGAAGACCTGATTACAGAATCTGGAAAGTGATTATTTTTTTTGCAAATAAAAGCAAATTGAATCAAACAAGGAAAATCTTTTGCATAATAAACATAGTGAGCAAAACCGGTTAAATCAAAATCTTATTGGAAAATTGTCGAGAAGTATTTTAACAGCTAAACTAACCAAAGTAACTTATTGAACGCTGAAAACATTACTTCAGCCTTTTTGTAGTTAAAGTGATGGCTTTTGTGACGAAAATTACTTAACCAATCGCACAATTTTCTGATTCATCTCAATATCTGCTTACCATTTTCTGTTCGTTTTGTTTCCTTATTTGGCAACTTTTAAGAGCCCTTCTTGTGAATTTACTTCATATGAATATAAATACTTCTCTCTTGCTTCACGTCTGTCTTCACTTTAAGTGAATGACAAGATGAAAATCATTTTAGGAGGGTGGGATCGTGCTAGACCGGAAAATAGGGGACACGTTATTCTTTGAAAGCCAGACGATTTACCAGACATCTAAAGACTCAACGGCAGGTAAGAGATTACAAACGGGGCATGCTGTTGGAAGAAATGGGTTATGTGTTTAGCTTACTAGTCGTTTTCTTGATCAGTCAGGCCAAATTTAAAAATACCCAAAATTACAGGTACGCTAAGTAAGCATGAAATAGTAGTGCCGAAAAGCAAGTGGGAAAGAGTCGAATGAGTGAGTCAATGAACAGGATTAAAATGTACATACATAAAAATAGTGAAATGAATGAATCATCGAATCAATTAAGCGAATAGTAAGATTAGCAGAATGAATATATGAGTAGGCAGTAAGCTATGCTCAAGCATACGTATTCAACAACAATAATAAAGGTACAATAGTATAGATAAGTTGCTATTGTGGGGATGACTCTATCCGTCAAATAAGTTAACAAAATGGCTTAACCAAATTAAATGTAAATAAACTCAAATGCATGTGAGCTGCTATAGGTTATTCATATAGGTAATAATGCAAATATGCAACTGTTTCAACATGATACATTAAATGAACTTGTTCGTATATTCCAAATATTAAATGTTTTGACCGTGCAGAAAAGTTTTATATAATAACGATATGACACACGCATGTGTAATTAAATTGAATACAAAATACAGATAAAACATTGGCTTGGATAGTTTCTATCATTTTTACTGATAATTGAGGCTTGAAAAAAAATCAAACAATATAAGTGTGTATAAACAACCACCTGGTTTATTAGCTAGACACTTTTAAATGATTCCTCTAAATCAAATGCATTTTAACAATAATGTAATGTTTACTTCATTGATTGTCACGATATAGGTATCTATTGCATTCATTAGTGGTATATTTTAGTATTTATATACATATAATAGAGAGTGATGATTTTCTGACATCGACAGAATCTGATTTAAAACCAATTCTGATTTCATATTTGTGTTGATCGAATTTGATTGAGATTTACAAGATATGTTGACATAAGGCATATAATGTTCATATTGTTATGTTTAGCTCTTAAAATATATTTTAATAAAATCTCTTTCAAATAAGTATTTGTTAGAAAATTTCGAATTATTTTACACTCCAGATTGATTTTTCCTTCTTTTGAATAATAGTACAACTGGCAAAATGTGTTACCATTATTACTCATGCATCTATGAGCTCAAAAATAATGAACATATAAGGGAGTAAATAATTATATAAAGTACTGTAGAAAGAATCTTACCGTAAAATTAGTAGATTTTGAACCATCTCTTTGCCCAAATAATGGTCGATTCGATAAATCTGTTCTTCTGTAAACAGTTTAGTTAATTCAGAATTCAATTCATTAAATGACTCTAAATCTCGTCCAAACGGTTTTTCAATGATCAATCGAGTCCACGTATCAGGGCTAAGAAATTTGTACCAACATAAAATTAATATTTATGAAAGTCACAAGTTTCAGTGTTCTAATATATTCGTTGTTAGTTCCTTTCTGAGTACAAAATGAATATTGATACAGGGCACTTTCATAACTTGATCAGGATGAAGATAGTACTTAAAAAAGGACTTAGAGAACAGTCATAATGTCATATCCTTTATACAGAAACGAAATGTCTGGCAGCAGAGAGACAAGAGGATCGAACAGTAAAGAATGGGAACAGAATGCAATTTGTATGAAAATGCAAGAACAATGAAGTCTGAGTCATTATGAGACAACTGATGTACATTTTGCAAACTATGTATTTACTATTTGATTGTTAGATTTTATTAACAAGTCCTGTAATTTTGTGTCAAATACATTCGATTATCCCTACTGGTGTTTGTGTTCACTACAAAAGGATGAGAGTGTAACTTACTGAAAGACATGAAAACATATGAACCACTGTTTCATTTATTTTTAACTACGTTTAAAAACTGCAGTTTGTTATGACTGTTACATGATGATTGGGTATAACGACAAAGATAACGACAAACAACACGGAAACAAACTCCAAAAGAACCATAGAAATATTTTGAGAAAAACAACTGAAGATATGTTTGAAAAGAAAAGTGATGCTACCACTGCGAAAGATGAAGCATATTTCTTATGGTAATTACCTTACAAAACAGAAAACAAAGCAACCTGAACTATTAAATTAACCAATAAAAATAAGTATAATACCAAGCGTCATTTTGTTGTTTACGAATATAACATTAAGAAGCGGTGTAAAAAAGAATTTTCCAAATGAATTAAATATAAATTTATCAATAATTAAATTAAAGGCCCTCTGACAACGGTTCACTCTACATAAATCACACAACTAATTTGGAGTAAGATATATATCCTTAGTTAAGAAAAGTATTATTGTAGTAGACAAAATACATCAATCAATGTAACTTGTTGGCTGAAAAAGATTAAATTGTCAAATAACCTCAAAATGTAATTGACAAGATTCAAAGTGCTGTTGTGTTTCAACGCTACAGTGTGCCAGTAATCCAGATAATCTATGAATATTGTGTCAATTCAGCATTCCGATTTACTTGGAACGAACATTAAGAACGGAATTTAAGATTTCACGTGTAAGTTAGAAATTCAATCTAGACTCATAGCAGTGCATAAAACACGGAATGTGATATCGAAATGGAGTTTCAGTTTAGAGCGCCACTTATTGTAAGATATTTTACAGTCCATTAAGATAAAGAATTTCGTTCCTCTGGAACAGACAGATATTCATCAACACATATCATAACAACTCGGTAATGCAGTTAAGTAAAGCCCAGATATTATTCGCCGATGTTAGAAGGAAAAATCGGCTAAATAATTTTATTATTTATTGTCGTTATCGGTAGAATTTGACCATAACAACTAAAATGCCAGCGTATTATATATATATATATATATATATATATATATATATATATATATATATATATACTTAGGCATTTTATTAGCAAAACCAATGATAATTTGCTTCACGATCATTATCGATTAAGGGTCATTTTTGATGTTGCAAATTATCAGGACTTCTAGCTGAAACATTAAGAACTTGATATCGACATGCTTAAATACACATTTCTCCTAAACTTAATGTCATGGAAGAGGTTTTCTGTGGTTTTATTAGATGAAATTTCGACCATTAATATCGATGAATACAGTGCCAGTCAGTAGCTGAATATAATGATATAATGTGACCGAGTGATGGCTACCTACGAGACTGTATACTTAACTTAGGCCCCTGAATAATTAGAAATTAGAAACAAGACCACTAGCCAAATGAATAGTTTCCCCATATAATCAGATAACATGTACGTATGCAACATATGAATACAAAATAAACATGACAAAACACCATAGCCAATTAGAGGAAATAAGCTTGTAGGTCATTCATTCTTTAGTCGATTAAGGCCTGACTACCAGGCCTAATTGCTGGGCATCGTTTGACTTTCTGAAAGATCAATGTATTTAAAGTGTTTTAGGATTAAGAGTAATTTGGAAAACACATCTTCAGACTCGTGGCTTTTAGCCAAACATTTTCTGAACTAAATGAAATTTTAAGTTTAGAAACTGAATCACTTATCCTGAAATCAATTCAGGGTGTAATCACAAGATAGATAGATGGAATTTTCTATTAACCTCGATTTATAAGTTTGTTCATAAAACAAAATGCAAACAATGATGTGTTAAGGCCTAGTTGGTTTTGGAATGGTAACGTTCTGAACAAATATGACTGATTAGAAAAATGATGTCAGTTATTAATAACTTAGGCTTTCGATAATCATATGAATACAGTGACCTCGACAAAATGCAAATTATTAACAGTTTAGTTTAAAATTCAAATCTTCATTTATTTCACAGTCATCTCGATGAACAGAATAAATTGAAAGTTAAACTACTATAAACATGAAAATCTCATTCAACAGAACTCCAAATGGTAATTTAAAAATCATGATTACAATTTGGTCATAAAATAATCTATTTGTTCATTTATTTTAAAAATTAATAATTATTCTTATATATATTGTCTGTAGAAGAAAAAAGATAGCAAAACAACTCAACCGATAATAATTACTTCAAGAATTATAACAGTGAAATATTGCTTACTTTTTGTTAGTACAATATTCTTTGATAGATGATGAAACAGGTTTATAAACTGATGGTGGTATAGCATAATAAAATATGCGATTAACAGATTGTTCCCACTTGGACTCTATAAACTTATTTAGTAATTCAAATGTTTTTGGATTCGTATAATCTCCTCTCAAGTAAAAATTACAGTTCCAAAATTCTTCATATTTTTGACATGGAGATGATGAGAGCTGATAGGAACCAATAAAAGTTGTTTATAAAGTAGAGTACTACGAAAAACTAATTAATTAACTCAAAAAGGCAATGTGTACGATAAATGTTGTGGATTAGAAAGATATTCTAATTCACTGAAAATTTAAGAATAAAATTTATCTAGTTCATTTTTTGATATTTTTCAAAGGAACTTAAAATGATCCATTCCTACAAAAAATATTTTACAAATGAATCCATTAGCATTGATCAATGATTCACATGTTACAAGCCAACACGTAGGGAGTACTCATTTTTAAGTAGGAATTGAAAAATCCCACCATTTTTATTGTACTCACATGGAGATGTCACAGTGATGTGCCAGGTAAGGTATAATGTGAAAAAATATTTACCCCCAGAAAACCATAAACCATTAGTCTCAATAACTAAATATACAAGTGTACGACAAACCAATAGATATATCTTAGAGTTGACTAACCATACTACTTATCTATTGGAAAAGTGGGACGAGTTTGGAATAAAAACTGAATGGCTGACAGTCAAATAGCAAAGACTGCGCCCATTAAGAACAGCTTATAATAATATATGTGAACAGAGTTGAAAGTATCGTAAAATTAGATAGGACTAGAAAAGTATGGCCAGCGTATATACTTTTAGATTAAACATAAAAGTCGAGTACATCAGTCAGTCATCAACGTGGAACGAATCTGGGTCGGTTCAGGTTGCGACATTTCACATCAACATAAAGAGAAATCAATGAGACGAGAAGTATAAAGTGAGAAAAGTATTGAAATATAAATATGGGAAATACAAATCAAAGTCATATTCACGAGGCGACTTCATATTTCAGGAATATATTGCAATGATTTCTAGTAGAACTTAGAAGGTATTAGCTCAAATTTGCCAACCTAGATAAATCAGACTTAATACATAGAAAAAATTGCATACCTAAATTTAGGTGAATTTCGCCCTAGAGCTTGATAGTCATTTCGAAAACTTAGGTGGAAGCAAACGTCTGCTAGTGAAATAAGAACAGTAATTTAAATTCGTCGGCGTTAATTTTCCGTAAATAAGGTTATAAAAATGAAATCTTACCTTGGCAAATTTTTCACTTCCTGCTCTTATGTCCTGGGTACCAATATCAGATCGTGCAAACCCAACAAAGTAAGTTCGAGGGGGCAGAAGACCATCACGGAACAACCACCTAGATTGTAACAAAGTTAATCATCAGGTTACCATAAAGTCGGGTAAGTTTTTTTCTTTGCCAAGTCACCCTATAATATATTATAAACAGACGTTCTAGTATTTCTTACAGAGGCTCCGATGATCACAACAACATGAACATGACTTTTATCTTCCTCCAAAGACAACTTAATAATGTTCAAGAATTCTTCACATTCACTTTCGTTTACTTCTGACATTTCTTAATAACCTGGTAAAAATTTGAACAATATTTTTTATTATAAAAGTATAATGAGAGATTATTTACAAGAATTAAAATTCTCAGTCATGAAAATGTCGATTATTTACAAATGATGAGAAATATAGTCCGTTCAACAAATTTAAAATTTAGAGTGAGTATAGAAAAGAGGGAACTAAAATTTCAGTGACCGTGGAATTTAATACGAGGTTGCAAACAGAGAAAATAATATATTGGCCAATTTAAATGTTCTGCCAGATATATACCAGATTGTATGTTGGCTCAGTCAGTCAGTCAGTCAGCTACAACGTAGGACCAGGCACATATGTGCATCGGTCCAGGTTGCCATACCGCATCAGCACAACAAGATGAACACCGGATTCATAGCAGTGGTTATGTCAAAGGTGGTAATATATAAGAGAAAGATTGCATATAGAGATATAATACAAGAAGAAAGAATTGGTTCGTAGAAAGAAAGATATGAAGCGATTTTAATCTCTTAGTTTAAGGGAAGACAGAGAGTGTATACACCGACGCCATTGTGATCGATTCTGAGCCATGTCACCAAGAGTCTCCAACCATTGGTTACGAAAGTCACGCGGACCCCAACCAAGTAGTCTGCATCTACCAACATGGCTCAGACTACAAGTTAGTGACTTCAAGCACTGATGCCACGTTTTGGTTTGGCCGCCCCTAACTTTCTTCCAACCATCTCCAATACCGGATAGCATTGCACGTCGTGGTAATCGGTGTTCAGGCATACGTAACACGTGGCCCAACCATCTCAGTCGATGAAGATTCATAACCTCATCAACTGATTTACCATCATTCCCTAATACCCTGCGTCTAACCTCACTATTACTTACCCGGTGATCCCAGCAGACGCCAGCAATATTTCTAAGGCATCTGTGGTCAAATACTAATAGCTTACGAGTGTCTTCTACTCTTAATGGCCATGTTTCGCTGCCGTAAATTAAAACAGAACGGACTGCCGCGCAGTATACTCGTCCTTTTATTGATAGACGGATATCTCGCCTTCGCCACAGGTGACGTAAGTTGGCAAAAGCCAAACGAGCTTTTCGAATCCGTGCTGAGATTTCGTCAGACACCAACCCATTAGGGCTGATCAGACTTCCAAGATAAGTGAAGTTGTCAACGCGTTCGACTACTTCACTCCCTATCCTTAGTTCAGGTGTTGACGCAGACCAGTCCTGAAGCAACAACTTGCATTTAGAGGGAGAGAAGCGCATTCCAAACATTCTGGCATTGTTGCTTAGTGCTACCAGAAGACTCTGCATTTTGTCAGCGTCTTCACCAAACAGGACTATGTCATCTGCGTATTCTAAGTCGATAAGTGGACCTCCTGGATGGAGATCAATACCCGAGAACTCAGTCGACGAGAAAGTTATTTCCATCAGTAGATCTATGATGAAGTTAAACAAAAATGGGGAAAGTGGACATCCTTGACGGACACCACTTGAGGTTGCAAAGGTAGATGACAGTTCGCCATAAGCTCTGACTCGACTAGTAGTGTTCGAGTAAAGAGCCTTTACAAGGTTTATGTACTTCTGGGGTACGCCTTTCAATGACAGACACTGCCACAGAATCTCGCGGTCTACCGAGTCAAATGCTGCTTTTAAGTCAAGAAAGACCACCATTGTCGGACGCCGATAAGTATGCCTGTGTTCTAGAATCTGACGAATGGTGAATATGTGGTCGATGCAGCCACGACCAGGTCTAAAGCCAGCTTGGTTCTCTCGTGTTTGCAGTTCACGAGTCTTAGTTAGGCGTCTGATAATTATCGAGGCTAGTATTTTAGATATTATATTAGTTAAACTAATCCCTCTGTGGTTGTCACAGGATGATTTTGACCCTTTCTTATATATTGGGACGATAAGTGATTGTGACCAGTTAGATGGGATAACGTCTAACTCCCAGATCTTAGCTAAAATATTAGTCAACCTAGTCGCTAAAATTGGACCACCATCCTTAAAGACTTCTGGAGCCAGTCCATCTGGACCAGCTGCCCTTCCTCGTTTCAGATTAACTATAGCCTTTTGAACTTCAGAGAGAGTTGGGGGACCTACTTCAATGTTCCATTCACGCTGTCTGGGAATGGAGGGTAGTTGTAGAGTAGCTGAAGGCCAGCTGAACTGTTCTCTGAAATGTTCCGCCCATCGTTCTAAACGTCTGGACTGGGAGCAGATGAGAGTATCATCTTTTTCCGATATAATCTCACTTACACTTGACTTATTAATTCCAGTTTCTTTTATTAGTCTGTAAAGCTGTCTTGTGTTCCCTATAGTCGCCGCCTTTTCCATCTCTTTTGCTTTCGTTGCCCACCACTGCTCACGGTCGTTTCTTAGACTTTTTCTTAACCTAGATCTGATTTGTTGTCGCTCTTCATCATGTTCGGAACCTGATGGGACGAGTTTGCGAGAATCCATCAGTGTGATAGACTTTGAAGAAATCCACTGGTTCTTTGTAACTCTGTGGTTTAAGTCGCTAATAGATGTCACTGCTGCTTCCACAGCTGCTTGTATGTCTTTCCAAGCAACATCTGGGTCAGCCTCGTCTTCAGAACTACCTAAGTGTGAACTCAGTTGTTCTTGGAACCTATTTTTGATTTTCTCGTTACTCAACTCAACCGATTGCATAGTATACTTTGCAAATAAACATTTGATACGCATTATAAGGCTCTTAAGAGAGAATACTATCCCACCAGACAAACTGAGACATGACAGTATTCTAACTTGACCAACCGAAATCTCAGAACACAATGACATGGCTACATGGATAACCAAAATTTCGTAGATCGATACTGGAGTATCTGTTTCTAGGCTCTTTACAAACTACTGTGGCATTCGGCGATATGACGCTGCTTCTTGGACCTTAATGTAAGTAATCTACAATATTTTCGATCATCTGCTTCAACAATTCAAAATGGAATCTCTTCAATAAATATTAACTAAAACAAACTATGGTACAAAATGTGACCTCTTTTTACGACATGTACAAAGTCTCAAATGAAAATGACATCACAGAAATATTTGAAACAAGAAAGAACAATGCTTAAAGAGCAATGCGGTAAGCTGGGTTTCATTGATTAAAAAATCCAGTGATACAAGCTCAAACCACTGAGATTACAGTAACTTGGATAGAGTAATACAAGCAGTGTTTTTCACCCATGAACATTAACAAAACAAACTTGAGATTTTAACTGCCTAGGTATACAGGTAATACTTCCGTGATATTCCGATTCGGAATTCGAGAACTTTCAAAGAGGAGTGGCTAACCTGTAATCACTACGAATGAATAACGAAAGCCGCTGCGTATTACGAAAATTCGCAGCCACATAAACAGTAAAAAACTGAACGTCCCACAAGACATGAGCTAAAACGCTGAAATCTAATAAGTTATTTTAAGCAACTTAAGATTTTGAGCACCCAAATTAATAGTCTCCACACTACACTTTAGTTAAGACAAACTCATATGACCTCATCGTGAAAAATCCATGTAATCAGTGATCAGCGCCTAGTTACGGTAAATCAAAATTAATAGATTTGTCCGTAGCTATACTAATTAAATTTGTACTTGAATTATAAATATAAGTTTATTTAGTGTAAGGTGTGGGACACCATATAATAAAGAAGCCGCCACACATATTTTGAAACCATATTTGACCTTTTACTTTACTATTACTTACTTGGCTTTACCAGTAGCAAAATAAAGTATCTGTGTCTCAGCAAAAACTAGTCGCTCTGAATTTATAAACTTAGGACTAGTCCAAACAAATATAAATCTCGAACGAAATGCGCTCTGCTTTTGTAGGTCAAACAGTGATTCAAATGAACAAATGATTCAGTTTTCAGTCTTCAGTAATAAGGATATTACTCCTTGCAGTTTGTATTACTGTGGAGTTTTAATCTCGTTTTGAATATATCAGCAGAGGGTGCTTATATTACGTGTTCCGGTAGAGAATTCCAGTAATTCACAACTTGGTGCGAGAAACGAAACTCCAGACGTAAACAATTTATCTCGGTTTTTGAACTTTCTTTGAATGTTCTCTTAAATAATCAGTTCTAGATGGAAGTAAAAGATAAGACATGTTAATACCAGGGCCATCGTTCAGTATACGATAAGCCGATATTAGATCACCCCGTATTCTACGGTAAGATAAAGGAAGTAAGTTAAGGTGTCTCAGTCTGTCTCCATAAGATAGGCCAGATAGACCGTTTACCATCTTAGTATCTCGTCGATGGACTTTTTCCAGTATATATCATACTTGAAACAGGGACTCGCTGCTCGAATTCAATATTCTAAATGTGGTCGCACGTGAATGGGGTATAATAATCTAAGCATTTCATCATCTAAATACTGGAAAGAACTGCGAATAAACCATAGTACCCTACAGCCTCTCGTAGCAGCAGCCTTAAAGTGCCTAGTAGTTTTGAGATCACTGCTTAATATGACTCCTAAATCTTCATAGTTTCTTACTTTGGGTATCACGAATCCACATATTGTATGGTGATACGAATCATCATAGTTATTTAGTTGCATCACCACACTCTTATTAGGATTCACTTATGATGACCACCTGTCCACCTTGCCACTAGTGAGCTAAATCATCCTGTAATACTGTTCTATCCTACATACTGTGTATGAATCTCCAAATCTTTATGTCATCAGCGAAGAGTAGGACGGATGATTTCGCTATAGTTGGTTATTCACTTACATCAAGTAAAAAGAGGAGGGGACCGAGGATCGTACCTTTGGGAACTCCACTTTTTACAGGTACCCACGAGGAGAGAGCCCCATTTACCCTAACCCTTTGTCTCCTGTCACAAAGAAGGTTACTTATCCAATCTACGACTGTATATTGAGTCCAAAACTTTCCAGTTTGAAGTTAAGATCAGAATGGGAAACCTTATCGAAGGCCTTACTTAAATCTATGAAGATCACATCTACAGGACTATTCAGATCTTTTGCAATGAGATTTGTCAAGCATGATAAGCCTCTCCGAAAACCCTAGAGAAAAAATTATGCCCTTCAACATAGTTTATAACAGATATCCGAATGAATTTTTCAATGTTTCACAGCCGCACTAGTAAAACTAACGGGTCTATAGTAACTAACTAAATCCCTACTCTCAACCTTATACATCGGACTTATTATAGCGTCTTTCCAGTCTCTAGGCGGTCTAGACTGCCTCAGAGACATATCAAACAGTATTGCTAATGGTTCAGCAATTACATCTGATATGGCTTTCATAGTCCTAGGATGAATATCATCAGGACCGCTAGGCCAAGTTTCTGTCACTGCTAGAATGAGTGGCCTTAATGTGTCCACCAATGCTTCTAGTTAATATAATATAATATAAATATATATATATATATTCTAACCAGTTTTTTGACCTGAACTTCTTTACAGTTTTCTGGTAAGATACCACGAACACATTCTCTTAGCTTCTCTAAATCATGCGCGTGTCTAGTTTTTGGATCAGGGTCGTTTGACTCCAGCGATTTGCTCACAATAATATTCGTTAATGTTAACGGAGATATCACTTTTCCATCAATCAAAGTCGGTTGTTTGAGGCGTCTCTTAACAGCACGTACTACACCGACACATTCATCACTGGCAGTGCTCGTGTTATCAGCTCATGCGCCATCGTTCTTCTTACGGGCCAAAGCCAATAAGCTCCTAGCCTTCTGTATTAGTGACGTCTTATTTGCACAGCAAAACATGCGAAGCCAACGCGAGTTAGGCTTCCAGAATCTTTTGTATGTGGTGAGACTTAAACGGGTACACACCTTATGGAACCACTTTGTGCACTCATCACCCTGCATTCGTTCCTCCACAAGGAACAAACGGTTTGGTTGTCCACATTTATGATTACTACGAACTACTGTAGTCAGGTTAAGGTTTAAAACACAATATGATCACAATATGAACGCACGTGTCAGTCAATGAGTAAAAGAGTACCAGAAGACAAACTTTAGAGAAGTACTTTAATATAAAGTTAACAAAGAACGCTCTTGATGCAACAATTACGCAAAAGCAGGGATAATCACGACAAGTACAAAATCACTGCCCTTTTTGAAACGCGCGCCAAGCTGTTTGTTAACGGAACACAACATAATAATGATAATTATTATTCACAAACATCTTATGGGTACATAAGTGTTGTGAAGAAACCATTTCGAGTTTCTTCAAAAATGCAATAGTAAACAAGTTTCAATAATGTTAGAGTTATATTTCCCATATTTGAAAAAAGAGAGTAATAATAATAGGATGATAACAACAAATCAAGTTCTGTGTAATTGAGAAGAATAGTGAATTGAGTTTAACGAAGGATAAGAAAAAATAAGGTAACAGAAATAAAGGAGACGTGAAACACACAAATAGTTTAATAGGCGTGTTTATGAACACAGAACAAGAATAAACGACTATGTATGTATCGTCAAATTAGTAACAAAAATAAAATAGAAAATAATTAAGAAAAAATAACTTATTGTGGCAGTAAGATATGACTCTGGAATAAATGTTTGTGCAGTCATAGTTTGGAGTGGTGATATGAAGGTCCCAATTAAGTGAAAATGATAATGTAATATCAATATGTATGAGTCATATTTACATAGTGAAGATAAAACGAGTCTGAGAAGTTAATTAAATGTAACACAAGTTGTTGTCTTCGTAATCTTAAGAATAACATTTATTTAGAAGGAACAAGAGAGAGCAAAGAAGTGGACACCTAGTGAAAAGGTTCAACCATGATAATAATAATCGTGTAGTGAATATCGACCTCAGAAGTAAACTAGCAATTGAGAAAAATAAAATAAGAATCCTAAAGTGCACTCAGATGAATACATTTAGATTTATGTAATGGTATACAGAGTAAAACCGGATATTAGCATTAACATTTGTGCAACAATAATTAGAAATGATGCTATGAAAGTCACAATTAATTTCAAAGGACAATCACAAATCAAATATGTTTAGAAGGATAAGAAGAAATAAAAAGAGTATCTAATGTGTCGCGGGACTAATAATGAAACTAAAAAACGGTAATAATTATAAATACGAACATAAGCAGACTTCATATATCAAGATGAATAGAAATAAGATAAAATAGACGTGAAAAGTTTCAAAGGTTATATTTTGCTTTCGGTCACTTAGATGGATGACGGACCCTTTTTGTATAGACCATTGTTAGACACATTGATATTCAATAGGTGACACAATCCACTTTCGGAAAGAAAATCATCAGGGAGACTTCTGAACAGGGTTATAGTTTCACTGCAACGAGGGTTTACTGTCAGTCTGCTCCACAAGGCTGAGTAGCGAATAACGAAAAATTTCTGGCGTAAGTTTGTGTGGGTTCTTGAAATCGCTAGAATATTCTCCGATGAGCTTTCTAGCTTTGGATCGTCAACAATGCTTCCGTTAACTATGAGGAATTTAGTCGTGCCAAGGGAATTCGACTTCACGCGGGATTTAAAAAGCCGAAGTATTGATAATTCTGGGCTTTTAATACGTAGGGATTTATTTTCTATATTCATAAAATACTTACGTTTAGATGAAGGATTTCTGTCGACCAATTTAAGTATACGCTGAAGTGCATATGTAGTGGCATTGGACAATAACCACACAATCCACAAAGCTGAACACGAGACTACTCAGAAAATAGATACTTAATACAACGCCGATAAATACCTAACAATGGAGAAGGCGCGAACAAAGAGTTGAATGAATTGGAGTTGACCGAATGGCATGACTCGGCCATGCAGGCGTGGTCCATCTGAATGTTACCTTATATCTTCTATTCATATTAAATATATTGTTCTTCCTCTAGCCTAACCTTGTTCTACATCATGTATTGGTAATTGATATGATACAGTGAGTTGGTGTAGTCGATGGTGTGACTTCCACGTAAGATCTTATAGATTGGGCAGTTATATCATGACAAATCTACAAATTTAGGATTAGGTCTATTATTAGAGCAGTACTAATATCATACCAGACCATAATTCTACATTGGTGAGCCCAACTAAAGAAACGCAACCTATTATTGTTAATCCTTATTTCCACCTTAACCTTATCAATCGGTTTTATTTATTTAAACCCATTATTCTAATAGTCCTTTGAATAAAAGTTACATATATCATCGTAATGTTATATCAATTAGTTCTCATAACTTACTAGCGCAATCAATAATAAAGGTTGATCGTCTATATCAACTAATTAGCTTTGATGGTTCGTTAACAAGCTTTAATAGCATTTACATGCTTCAGCGACATAGACTTGTTCAAACATCAAGCTCTAGCAAATATGACCTGTAAATAGCGGAAATATACATTGACTAACAATACAATCAAGGACTAAATACTTATCGGGATCTAATTATCAGTGTTCCTTCACCTAACACCTCATCCTGTTTTAAACTATGCACTATCCTGTAATATCTTTCTTCTGACCACTGCCTGCCTAATTTCATATTTTCGAGTTCCATCGCCAAACAACAAGGATGACAATTTCGTGCCTATAGGTAACCCTCGTGCTATTGACAGAAGAAACCAGACAAGTAGTGAATAGGTCTTTATTTCGATCTTTGCGCAGTCACAGTGGAGCGTGGGATTATCTGTTCAGACAAACAAAGGCTCTCAACATTCAATATAAGATAATAGGGAATATAACGCTTATAAAAAATAAGGAAGTGAATGAATACTTGAGCAATACCGTTTTGGCATATGCTTGGTTGTTTGGGGTCAACTCTTAACCAACCAACCTAAGCTGTTACATTAGCTTCCCCCTAGAATCGACTTCCATAGGAACGTCGGTTCGATTAACCTATCTATCGAAAACACCTTAGTTCTATTTCTCATCCCAAGGGAAAATTATCAACTCGCTCACTATTTGACTTATAATCAGTGACGACTAACGCTGTCAGCTGTCAACGATAGTGCATGGATGTCTCTTCATTTACTAGCTTGTCATCTTATTTTGTAGCATGTGATCTCTTCTGCAACTATCGCTGACGGTTTGCTGCGTGCTTTCAAGAGAAAGAGTGTGAGAATGTGGAATAAGAATATCTGAGGAAGTGCCGCGAGCGGGCTACCCAACACCATGTTGGTGAGGTACGATTTTTCCATGCTCAGACCGGCTATCAGGTGTTTACTCACCTGCCTCTTGAGTCGCCCTCAAGTAAAAAGTAAAGAAGAATCTACTTCAAAGGTAATGGTGAAAATCAAGCAAACCTGAAGAACTGCTCCACTGCCTGCATAAAATAATAAGATACAAAATGGAAATACATAAATGTAATTGATAATTGTTCGGTTCCATGTAAGTGCTTGGTCTCCAGAACGGATTGGTATTCTGGGTTGCTTTTTGAATTCTTTGTATTTGCCAGTGTTAGTTGTATGAGTTTGATTAAAATCCTCAGCCATCGTTGCGGAATACCTAGCTTATGTGTCCAGTATTTTTAAAAAATTATTAACATAACACTTATATATCAAAGGTAAAAGGTCTGGGGAGTTGTAGGTGAGGCGGAATGAGGGAAAAAAATATTTTTAAGTAAATGCAGGGTCTGATTAGCTACGTGATTAGATTTTATCCTGCAGCCGAAACTGTCAACATCCTTGACTGACTGATCGGATGTGCCCAGCGAACCGTTTTAGTCATTTGTAAAGATTTATCATCTTTACATTTCGATTCCGTAATGGATTTGTCAGTTAAACGATCTAACAACACGTATGGTGGTTCATGATCTAGATAAGCCGGCTTTAGCCTATCAATACTTACTGTGTCGATGTTTCCATGTTTTTCTATCACGAAATATTTAGATTTTCTTGAGACGACTTTGAAAGGACCTTCAAATGGAGGACTGAGTGGTGCTTTTATTTTGTCACATCTTATCCAGACGTGCGTGCAATTGCTTAGGTCTTTAGGTATATATACGGCGCGCGATTGTTCACGAGTATTAATCGGCTTAAGTTTAGACATGTGGTCCCGTAGTTGATCTACATAATTTTCTAAATTAAGTTTTTGACTGTTAGTATTAGGGTTAACAAATTCACCTGGTAGTCTCAGAGTTGTTCCGAAAACCAGTTCCGCAGCTGAACACTGTGCGTCAGTTTTGACAGATGTTCGTATTCCCAACATAACTAATGGTAGGAATTCTGTCCACTGATTGGGGTTTGAGTGAGATATAAGGGCGGTTTTTAGCTGACGGTGAAAACGTTCTACCATCCCATTAGCCTGAGGATGATATGCAGTGCAGCGTATCCTATTGGAGCCTAGAAGTTTAGCCAAGTTATTAAATAGTTCGGATTCGAATTGCGCTCCTCTATCCGTCGTTATTGTTATGGGTGTACCAAAAATGGTTACCCAGTTCTGCATGAAAACTTTGGCTACTGTTTCCGCTGTGATGTCCGCTATCGGGATGGCTATAGGGAATCTGGTAAATCGATCTATGCATGTAAAAAGATAATTAAAACCGTTTGAACGTGGTAAAGGACCTACCAAGTCGATATGCACATGGGCAAAACGTGCATCTGGTTGCGAGAAAACACCTATGGGTGAATTTGTGTGACGATTAATCTTTGATTGTTGACATGCTGAACACTCTCTAACCCATTTGTGTACATCCTTCTGTAAATTCGGCCATATATATCTGGCATTGATTAGTTTTGTTGAAGCTTTCGCGCCAGGATGAGACAAAGAATGAAAGTTATTATATATCAACTTTCGCATATTTTTGGGAACGAAAGGTCGCGGCATTGCCTTGGTCGTGTCACAATAAATTAGAATACCATCGATAGGTGATGGGAATTGTTTTAAATTAAGACTTGAATTGTTTGTTTTAAGTAGGTTTTGTAATTCTAGGTCCTGCTCTTGTTCGTGTCTCAACGTCTCGAAGTTTACTGTAGACTGCTGTAGCACGTTCATTTCTAGTCTGGATAAAGCATCTGCCGCCTGATTGTCCTGACCTTTGACATGTCGGATATCGCTTGTGAACTGTGATATATAGTCAAGGTGTCGGACTTCTCGAGGTGAGTATTTATCGGCTCTCGCTTTTAATGCATTCGTCAGTGGTTTGTGATCCGTAAAGACTATAAATTCCCTACCTTCTAACATGTGTCGGAAGTGTTTAATGGTCAGGTAGATTGCAAGAAGTTCTCGCCCGAAGGTAGAATACCTTGTTTCGGCTGGAGCGAGTCTTTTCGAGAAGAAAGCAATTGGTTTCCAGGCGTTTTTAACCAGTTGGTTAAGGGTACCGCCTACTGCTTTATCTGAAGCATCCACCATCAAAGCAAGTGGGGAAAGAGAATTCGGATATATCAACGTAGTTGCTTGAGCCAGTTTATCTTTAAGCTGTTTAATAGCTTCGATGGCGTCAGAAGACAGTTTGAATTCTTTTGGTTTTCCTTTAAGTGAATCTGTCAAAGGTTGCATTAATTGTGCACAACCTGGTATGAATCTGCGATAAAAGTTAATTAGGCCTAGAAAACTTCTCAGTTGTGTTAGAGAACTAGGTACGGGGTATTGTTTGATGGTATCCACTTCTTTTTTGATAGGTTTAATCCCTTCTGGGCTTATTGTGTGACCGAGAAATTCTAAAGTTTGAACACCGAAAACACACTTACTTTGATGTATGTTTATTCCATGTTCATCCAGTCTTTTCAACACTGCTTGTACATGCTGTTCGTGTGATTGCAAATCGGGGCTGGCAATTAACAAGTCGTCTATATACCCCTGCGCAAATGGCATATCTCGAAGTAGGTTATCTATGAATCTTTGAAATGTCTGTGCCGCATTTCTCAGGCCGAATGGCATGCGTACAAACTCGAATAAGCCAAAGGGTGTAGTAATAGCTGTCTTGGGAATATCTTCATCAGCCACCGGGATATTGTGATATGCCCTGACTAAGTCAATTTTAGTGAATATGTTCATACCCTGTAAACCGTTGGTGAAATCTTGGATATGAGGTATTGGGTACCTATCTGGTACGGTTTGACGGTTTAGGGCTCTGTAATCCCCGCACGGTCGCCAGTCACCTTCATTCTTCTTTGGGACCATATGCAAAGGGGATGCCCATTGACTATCAGAGGGACGGATAATACCCAATTGTAGCATATAATCAAACTCGGCCCTAGCGATTTTGAGCTTATCTGGTGCTAGTCTCCTGGGTTTTGCAAACACCGGTGCACCTTCGGTTTTGATAGTGTGACTTACTTTTAGTTTGTCTTTAGAAGGCTGTGGGTTTGGTTTAGTTAAGTTTGGAAATTCCGCGAGTATATCTTGGAATTTCGCTGTTGTTACTGGGGAGTTTGAATCAAGTTAAGAGAGCTGATGTGACTTTCTTTGCCTTTTGTGTAATACGAAGTTTCTTTTAGTGTTAATCGCCGTTTCTTGGTGTCAACTAGAAATTCGTATCTCTCTAGAAAGTCCATCCCCAGTATTGCCAGATCTAAGTCGGCTACCGTGAAAACCCAAGGGAATTGCCTCCTGAACCCCAAATCTAGGGTTAAAGTTTTCTGCCCAAATGTCGCGATTTTAGTTTTATTTGCAGCTTGAAGTGTAATTGATGATGTTTCTCGACTAATCTCAGTTTTATTTTGAGGGATGATGCTAAGAGCAGCGCCAGTATCCACCAAGAAATTCAAGCCAGAGTTTCTGTCTCTAACATAAAACAAGCGACTGTTTAGGCGCCCCTCCTCAGTCGTCGCGACCTGGGGAGGGGTTACTCGTTTCCCGCTGTCTTAGAATTATGCTTAGGCCAGGCGCATGGTTGCATGCACTTGGTTGAGTTGACACCAAACTTCCAGTGGTACCAACAAAACTGCCCAGATTGTCCAGACATTTGTGACCTGTTTTGTGACTTGGATCGTGGTCGTTGTGGTGACCTGCTCCTGTTTCTATGACCCATTTGCATTCTGGTGACAGCCTCAGTGAGACTCTTAACACTCGCAATGAGTCCTTCTATTACGGGGTCTTTTGCTGATTCTACTTTTTGTGTGTGATTTATTGTGCCTGATCCAGTTGGAGGACCTCTTTCCATTATTCTGTCGGCTATACGCGCTAAATGAGATAATGAGGTTTCAGGATCTTGTGCATCCAAACAGTGTTGGACGTAGCATGGGAGAGCTTGTATCCATCCTTGTTTTAGGACTGCTTCACCCACTGTGTTATCACCCACTAAGACTTGGAGGTGACGTAAAAACTGTGACGGCGACCGATCACCTAGTGTTTCACCTTGAAAAAGTCTTTGGATTCTTTGACTATCTGATAATGATAAACGGTTCATTATCTCTCGTCTTAAGATGGTGTATGGTTGTGGTGATGGTGGACTTAAAATCAAGTCACGGACTTCTTTGGCGACTGAAGGAGGAAGGATAGAACACAAGTCTCTATAGCGAATCCCTTCAGATTTGATATTGTGTCTCGTGAAATAATGCTCTAGTTGAGCAAACCACAACTCAGGATCACTACGATCAAATTCTGGAAGTCGGGATTTCGTAGTCATAACAGTGTCTATCTCCACTGGTGACAAATCCTCCAGATTATGGGTTTCTATTGAGTCTGACATGAGGTATGTGACAAATATAGCAATAAAGTTAGCACAAAAAATGGTTACTATAACACGAATAACTTAAGATAATAAAAAATAAACGAGTTATATACTCAAATTAGTTTACGGATAATCAGGTCTACTTTTACGATTAAGTAAAAAAAATGTTAATAACAGAAATGAGGTTAAATTTGTGTTCAAAAAGGGCTCACCACTTTCGTGCCTTAAGTAACCCTCGTGCTATTGATAGAAGAAACCAGACAAGTAGTGAATAGGTCTTTATTTCGATCTTCGCGCAGTCACAGTGGAGCGTGGGATTATCTGTTCAGACAAACAAAGGCTCTCAACATTCAATATAAGATAATGGGGAATATAACGCTTATAAAAAATAAGGAAGGGAATGAATACTTGAGCAATACCGTTTTGGCATATGCTTGGTTGTTTGGGGTCGACTCTTAACCAACCAACCTAAGCTGTTACAACAATTCTCCAAAAAACATACGGTGAGTTTCAGCTATAGGTTTTCTGCAATCATAAGGTCATTTTAGATAACTCGTTCAATGGCGACCACACAAGTATCTGGATTCATTCAATTGTTCTGATCCTAGCGAGTGGCAAAAACGTCAACAGCATCAAGCACCCCGGAATTAATTGCCATTCTGCATGTTTTATTCTGGATGCTTTTGGATCATTACTACTCATGAGTGGCGTTATATATGTCGTCCACTGAACAATCTAATTTTCAAAAATAATCCAGGCGAGTTCAACTATTTTACTTAATGATTTTTTGTACTTAACATGTATATGTTTTCCGGCTCCTTTTGCTATATATTTGTAAGTGTCCCTAGGCTAAATGCAGTAACTTCTTATGGAATGTTTATAACGCATCATATTCCTGCCTGAAGTTTCACAAGCAGTCTAAACTTTAAAATTGTTTTCTGGTCATGTTCATTATTTTTAAATCGACCTATACGTCAACAACCTGCATGTTAACCTGGCCCATACATACGTTACACTATATCTCCATGTCTTCTAAATTTAGAAATCATCTGGATCGCCTTTAACATTTATCAATAAACCCATCATAGTCGTTGTTGCTAATCGTATTTGGGTTTATGGATTAGTTTATCATATTAGCAGCCTAAAATGCGAACATAGTTTAGATAATAAGATTAAAAATTTAGGTACTATCAACTGCACTAGTAAAATAACTAAATCCTCAGGTAGCTGTTGGCTAAACAAACGTTT